CCCACAAACAATGAAAAAAGTTTTATTTGAAATGGAACCTAATTCAAAAAAAAAAAACTAAAAAGAAATTTGAAAAGTTTTTTAAAAGATATTACGAGATTTATGAGAAAATTTTAAATTTTCTCTTAATGGAAATATAAAACATAAATAAAGATGAAGTAATAAGAAAACGTTTATTAAAATTATTAATTCTTCTAAAATAAATGAATTTAGCAATAGCACTGAATTTTAAGTATCTTCAGTCCAAATTTCTTTGAATGACAATTTTTGCGAAGCTTTAACTCAGTTTCTAATGATATATAATTATTAATGTACATTTAATTTCATAATTACTAAAAATTATTCAGCTGTAAAAATATAGAATTAAAAAATTAACACATTACTGTGCGATTTATGTAGGTATAACCAAAAAAGTCTAAAAGACTGACAACTTTGTTTTGGCTTTTCATTCCCTCAAATTGTATAGATAATGATTTGCTTTTGAAATAAACCGAGATATTGTTTTTTCAATTAAAGAAAAAGGAACATAAATTGACACATACGAAAGTATAATTTCTATAACATTATTAAAATAATGATAATAATATAATTTATAAAAGTTAATATATGAAAATAATAATAATGAAATATGTAATAATAACAAAAATTTTCATAAACCCAATATTGCAAATATATAACGTTATGAATATGCAGTACCTTTTAAATATGTATTCTATAAAATCGAAGCAGTTCATATGATTTAACTGCGCGCTAATAATATTTTCGCTATGTTTTTCAATAATTTAGTGCTGTTTACATGAAGCAACTATATTAGCAAAATTTATTTATGAATATTAATATAGTGCAGTTTCCATTAAGTTAACGAAAAGGCCCAACACAATGTTGTTGAAAATTAAAATCGTAATTTTTCAGAAATAACTTAAAATCGCATAACTTAACCCTTCTTCGAAATAATTATTGTAAAAAAAAATTAAATAACATACTTTAACATTCTTTAAAAAAAATTGTTTCAAACGTACATGTATTAAAAAAATCAAACAAATTAAAACATTTTTTTTTTATAAAAAAAAAAAGTATAACATTATTTCTTATTGTTTTTTATTTTAATATTTCAAATGTGAAAGTTGAGGTTTCATAAAAAAGGCATGAGGTGATGAAATTTTTGTGTTGTATAACAAGTTATTATTATAAATTTTATAATTATATAATAATAATTATCATTTTTGATTGCACTTTTTTTTGTTATAATTTTGTTATTTATTGTATTTTTTCATTTACTTTCGTTCTTTAACATTAAATCTATTTTTAAAAATTCTATTCTATTTTAAATTTTAGTTTTTTTATATTTATTTGTTAATTATTACCTGTTTATGTTTCTATACAAATTTTTTAAATGAAATATAAATATTGTTTCTATGTTGTTGATTTTATTTTATGTAGAATATTGTATAATAGTTTTATTGTAATATATGTTTAATGAATTAATAATAGTAATGACTAATAATCAAGTACGTATACAAAGACTGTCAAAGTTCAAAATTTATAATACATTTTGAAAAAAATTTGGAACAAAAAAAGCATCACCAATTTGATGATAAATCAATAATTTGACAATCTTCTTTTGAACTCTTTATTTTTAAATTATTACTTAAAATTTTTTACTATTTTTGGATTTTTTTTAATGAGAATTTTAGTGAATAACTAAAGTAATTTAAGTCATAGCTAAAATATAGACCTTTAAAAAAAAATTTTTTTTTTTTTTTTAAATAGTATGCAAAATTTTATAAAACGGAGAATGCTCAAAAATAATTTTTTTGGAAATATTAGTCCATTGCTCTCATTGTCCTTATTCCATTCCCATTAATTAAATTACTAAAATTTCTAAAGTAAATGTACTGAATCGAAATATCTCAAAATTTTAATAATGAATGACATACATACATATATACGTATGTATTATACTTAAGGCTTCATCAATAATGTCAAATGCCGGTCGACAACAATTGCATGTGATAGTCACCAATCAACAATCAGCATCAATTATGCTAAAACAAACTTTTGCATATCAACTTTCGTATTCAATTTTTTAATGTAACCAGTTTAAAACTCTTTTTGCAACAAATTATTCTTGATTTTTATATTTTTAGAATAAAATTACTTATCCTCTTCAAAATTTTTTATTTTGCATAACAACAAAGTCGGCAGTTAAAATTTTTTTATTATAAAAATGCCAAAAAATTTTAACAATAGGACAGACAATCGAATTTATTAATTAAGTGAGATTTGTTTATTGCATTATCGGCTACAATACACATATAGACAGACATATCTTGACAACTGCAATATCGACTAAGATGCAAAAGAATTCAACGCACATTTTACATTATCGATTATACCTTAAAATTTGTATTACTTTAAATTGCTTTTTTTTTATCGAATTTTTGCACTTTTTATACAATATTGTAAAATAAATGTTTTTACTCAATATATTTATAGATACCATTTTATACATTTTTATACATAAAAAACAAAAATACATTTTTGTGCAAAAAACACAAATTCTCTAGCTAGCAAATTGTCGCTTATAATAAAAATCATAAAGAAATTTTACATTCTCTCATGACATTTGTATTTTACGATCAAAACAAAAAGTTATGAATATTAACATAGAAAACATTAAAATAATAATTTTACTTTTTTCGTAACAATACTTTGCATTTAAATATAACTGCAATTTTTATAACGACAGTAACTAAATTCAAATGAGTTACTTTAAATTCTTACGTTTCAAATAAGGTTTTGCTGTACTAATAAATATAATGAAATAATTATATAAAATTGAAATTTATATACAATTATACATACGTATATATAAATATAAATATTTTATATATCTACTTATTTATATTTCTTTATACTTTATTAAAATTATATTACTATATGTATGTATATGAAAGAAGTATAATGGTTAAAAACCTAAGAAAAAATGAAGTTAAAAATTTTTTATTAGAATTTTTAAACATACATACATATTATAATATGTATATGTAGATATATTCTTTATACTTACATGCACTTATACAAAATTATTCTGTTAAATAATCGTTATATGTATATTTATATAATATGTATATATATATATATATATATATATATATATATATATATATATATCTAAATATATAATATATATATGTATCTAAATGTTCAAGAGAGCAGAAATTGTATAAAATTATTATAACAATTTATTGGAGACTTAGAAAACATAATTTAATTCAGAAATTGAAATAATTAATCAATTTCAAAATAAATTTTAAAAAACTGCTTTAGAGTTTTTTGATAATTCATTTTTTTTTTTTAATCAAAAGCCAATAATTTTTGAATCTATTTCGTGTTTTATGAGTTCCGTGTTATGTTTGTGATATTTTAAATTATGAAATGTTAATATAAAAATTAATACTATTCTAGAGATAAGTTTAATTATAGAATTTATTAAAAATGTAAAATTATAAGTCTTGCCATGTATTTTTATATAATTTTTTAGCATGCAATACTATGACTAATTCTTTTTATGTTTAACTTATTTTGTAAACAATATTTCTCAATTGTATTAAATATATTATGTACATATATTTATGTATATTTTTAAAGCAAAAAAAAATATGTGCCTGCATTTGTACATACAAGATATTTCAGCATCATAATAGTGGTAATTTTTTTTCTTAAGCAGGAATAATATAAAAATAACAAGAGATGTCTTGTATTTGGTGATATTTCGCACCATTAACAAAAGATTAATATTTTCGGCATATTAACATCAAATTTTAGAAGATGTCTTTTAAAAATAAAATTTTATTCTAAATATATGTATACCAATTTTTAAAATCTTGCTCCTTATATTTTTCTAGCTATTAGTTATTATTTATATATAAAACGAAAATCAAAAGAGTAATAAAAATATGAAGCATATTATCCAAATTTTATTTTCAATTTATCTTAAAATAAAGCATTCGCATTAAAGTGTTAACTCTTACATAAAGGAAAAAACATGTAACAAGATTTCTGGTTAATAATTGTATTAAACTTACATAATAATTTATCTTTAATTTCTTCTCTACACAAAATTTGCAGCTTGACAAATTAAAATTCCAGATAAATGGAATTAAGTAAATACATTTCGTAGAAGTGCATTTATTTAATTAGAATTAGAAGAAATATAGTTTTCAGAATAAGAAATTACCTTTGTAGAACTTAGTTTGGAATCGATACGAGTATATTATAATCTATTACAATTCAGATATACTACATATAAAAAAATTTATTTTCATTAAATCCATAAATCTCCTACACCCACAATTTATATGAGTTTGAGATATTTTCTATCAGGGTCATTAGGAATTTCAAATCTTGCAGAATTTTTAACTTATTTTTAGCACCAATGTATTTTTTAAGCTGCATTTCAATTTCAAAAATAAGGTTAAGTAAAAAAAAAAATCAAGTCAATTTTTATACAAAATTAATTTCTTTAATTAATAATCAAGTCATATCAATATTAAATATGTACGTTAACAATTAAAACGAAAATAACAGATAACAAAAACTTTTTTTCCGTAAAATTATTTAAGATTTTAAGGTTTAAAATGAAATTAAACTTATGATTCCTTTTTAAATAAATATCTAAGTAAGAGAGTTTGTTTGTTACTATTTGTACCACTAATAGAACTGTTGATAAGGAGCAATTTCAACATGAAGCAAATAATTAATGATTATGTATTTTACCAAACAAAATAATTCACAACATTTCATAAAAATTTTTTTTAAAGGTGTTTAATTTTTATGACAAAATTTAAAAATTTTTTGTTTCTTTAGTTTTTTATAGCTTATTTATAATTTTCCAATAAACATGTCTCTCTTCAAAAACTTAACAATAAAAATTCTCCTTTTTCAATCAAATAATTTAAAATTATTTGTTTTAAATATATATTTTACATTAAAGATTTTACTGATTTTAATTAATGCATAAATGTTGATACTTCGAATCTGATAATGTACATATGTATTATATAATTTTTAATTTTTCTGAGACTATTTTAAATTAAACTTTTAAAATAGAAAAGTAGAATAATATTGTTCTTTTTGAAATATATTGATAATTTAAGTTATTTTAAAATAAAACCTAATTTCAATAAGTATTAAAAGTTAATATATATATGAATAATTATTATATGTTAAAAAGTAAAAATAAACATTTTTAATTTAAATTTAATTATACAATATTAGTTTAAGATCAACTTACAAAATTTTTACTTTTTCACCCTTTACTCAATAACCCTACCATCGATTGGCATTGTATGCAAAACTTCATCGAGTAATTGTAACGCCCTGTGTAAATGTACCTCAATCCAACATGGTGTTTCTTTAATTGAAATTCTTGGATAATCAGGTCCCCATCCTTTTACAAAACTCAAACGTAAGATACACAACCGTCTTAAATCATCAACTCCTATTCCAGCTGCTGCAGATAAACCTTTTAAAAATTTTTAAATTATGTATTTAAATAATTTGAAGTAAGAAAACGTCTACATACCTCTTGGAGGTGCAGGAATTTGAGAATTTGGAAGTCCGGCAACTGCTGCTGCTTGTGCAGCTGCTGCAGCCCTAGCATTGGCTGCCAATGATTGCATTTGTCTATGGCACTGTCTTAAATCAAAAACCTAAAATTATAGCATGATTTGAAATTGTTTTTATGGTATTTCCGACTTAAGAATGTATTAGTTCAATATTATGCTAACTTTAATACAAGCTGCTGGATATATTTTATGTACTGCATCTCCTGGTGTTCGACCAGCCTCTCGGTCTAGATAATAACTTTGAACAAAAACAGAATTGTCACTAATGCATCTCAACCAGACATCGCCTTCTCCTCTTAGATCAAGTTGAACACCTTTGCCTATATGTAACCTGAAACAACATTGTGTTAATTTAATTTTTTTAATTTGACAAAAATTTCATAAAGGTTCTTTACCGAGCCCTTTCACTCTGTTCGGTACGATGTACATTACTTAAAGCCCCTAAACAAAATCTGTTACCTCCTGAGGGATCTACGTAACCATCAACAATAACATGTGGCTTAGCTGATGGAACCTTAAATGTCTCACCAACCTGTGTGTCAAGTTCAAAATATGCTATTGAACACCAATACTCTGGCGCAGGTTGCCTTGATAATAAACGAGGTTGCCCAGGTATTTCCCCTGGAACTGGATTAGCCCCTATAAGTAAAAGAAAGTTTGTTTACAAGGCAAAAATGTTGTCTAGGTTTATACAGTAATTTGCATGCTGCGATCTAGGATCGGGTGGTGGTATCGATTGAGTGTATGTGAGAGTATTGGATCCTGTCCATGTGCCTTGAACAACTCCTCCAGCTACAACGTTACCACTACCATTTGAAGGTTGTGTATAAGTCTGAACTTGTGTTGCCTGGTTATTAGAAGCCATTGTTACATAGCCGTTCTGCTGCATATGTGGCGACATTGGAGATGTAACTACGTTCAGAGGTCCAGTCAATTGAGAATCAGGCGGCAGTTGATCTGTTGTTTGAGTACTATAATATCCTCCAGAATCATTATTTTGAGTTCCTTGTTGCGATTGTTGTGCAGAACCTGATTGCGGTTGATTATTTGATTGTACAGAATTTTGAAGCGGACCACTTGGAGAGCTTATGTTTGAGGATGAACCACCGACAGAACCTGGAGGTTGTGGACCCGATTGAGTTTGTAACATTGCGGGATTAAGAGTTCCTGGTGGTGGTAATGGCATTCCATGAGGTACAGCTATCAAATATTATAAAAAAAAATCAAAATGATATGATGATGTGCAAATAACATGATTAATAAAATAATTCAAGCTTATTTTTTTTTGTGTTTGAAAAAATAAATATGTAATCTTATATTTAAAAACTTAATTATTCAACAAACGAAGGACCACAAAAAAAAGCACAAAAAAAAACGAAAAAAAAAAAAACAAAAAAAAAAATAAAGGTAAAAAAGACCCTTACGATGTTGCGAAGGTAGAGTTTGTGGTAGTCTTGGGGAAGCCCCAATCCAAGAACCCCTCGGAGGAGTTTCTGACGGCTCAATTTTAGGAACTACAGGTCTTCCTTGATAAAGAGATCCTATTTGACTAGGATCGCCTTCGAAAAGTTATAAAATATTCATAAAAAATAAAAAAAATAAAATAATATAAAAAAAACTAAATCGATTAAGTAAATCAAAATCGAAACATCATCAAATAAAAATTTTTTCGAAAAAAAAGTAAGAAATCAGTATTCATTTTTCCAACCTGGTCCTGAAGGATATCCATAACCTTGAGTTCCTATAGATGAAGGATGATGTTGAATAGTACCCATGTCTCCTCCATCAATATCCATACCACCCGATACAACTGGACCAGCAGTATATTCATCTTTAACAATTCGACTTGGTCCTGATTGCAAACTTAGTCCAGATAAGTCTATACCTGGTGAAACGACTCTTTCATAATGATATGGGTTTACACAAACTGAGTCGCATTTTAAATCAAAAGCAAATTGGCAATATTTAACATGTTTCAATTCATTTTTATGTAAATCTGGCCAACGCCATATTCTGGCGTAAATGACATGAGGGAAACCTTTACGACCAGCAACCTGGAATTTAAATATGTAATATTGAAAGAAATTTAAAACCAAATTCATTAATATTTACTTGCAAACGACCATCTAGGGTTCTTTGAATTGTTACACACTTGCTAGGATGTGCACCATTTGTTGTAATGGCTGTTATTAATGAATCTAGTTCATCCCTTTTTTCTTTTAATTTTTTCACTAAAGACTCAATAGCACGTTTAGCGAAACCTTCACTTTCACCACCTTGTCGATGGCACATTAATGAATGCACTATAGAAAGACAAGCATCAGCCGAGGTGGGGGCTGCCGTGCCTACTGGGGGAGGCGGCGGCATTGAATTCATCTCACGAACTATTAATGCTAAATAAAAACTATTAAGAAATGTTAAAAATTATAATTTTATATAAAACTTGCTTTCTTGTGGTGGTACATTCGTTGCATAAATATGGCCACTCGCTAAACTGACCATCCCTGTGTAATCCTGGGAAACTCCCAGGCTTGAAGTTCTTGCATCCACTTTTCAATGATTTTTTCGCTTCCTTTTTGAAAACAAGCACTGTTAACTGTTAGTACGAAAAAAAAGAATTTTTATCGCAATTTTATATAAGGAAAATTATTGCTTTTGATTTACTATAAATACCAAAAATTGAATCACTTTGATCTTTTAGAGAAGGGGTTGAGGGACTGTAAGACGCAAAATCAAGTTTTTCTTTTTCTTTATTCTTTCTTTGTAGAACTTTTTGATTCGCGAAAAATTATATTACCTAATAAATGTATTGTTAAAAAAGTCTAACAATTTATTGTATGTATTTTAAAATATAATTTACAGATTTATTTAATTTTTCATTATTGATGAATTTAAGATAAATTTTGGACTTTTTTTATAACACCAAACACTGCACGAGAAACACCAACTAGCGGGTTTTTAACTAAATTTCATGTGAAATATGTCAAAATGAAAACCTTAAGTAGAGTTTACATTATTAACAGTACAATTTTATTTTTATGTTAAAAAATCAAAATTGTACGTACCATTTTATCTGGTGACATTTTTCTAAATATACATATACATATCACGGCTAACAGAATTGCAGCTCTGGACACTGATTGAAGCAATAAAATAATGCCTATTTTACTTAATATGTAAATTCTGTTTGGCATCAGGCCTTGGGAAATTATGTATTCTATTCTCATCATGGCGACAATTAATTTTTGTTGTAGTTTGGAAAACTGGTGAGCTGACTTTTGTTATGGTTGACCTTCACTTCCCACAAACAATTCAGCCCATTAAAATTAAACGATTGAATCATAATATTACGGGAAGTGACCGTCAACCATATGGTTAGTCATCAGTTTTTATCTACGACTTAATCTTAAATTTTGTAGTATATGTAAATAGTACCTCATTTAGTACTAAACCTAAATGGAAGTGCTACGCGGTATGCCGTGATTAAAATCATCGCATTGCAAAAAGTTGAATTCACTGCAAATGTTGCTTATTTTAGGAGCGTATATTTAAATTTACATTTTGAGCATATTTTTTTCAAAACCACTATATAAAAAATTTGATTTTTGAGAATTAGTGGAATATATTTTTGGATATATGTAATAGTCTCAATTATTGTATCAAATCTCAACCATTCGGACTTCTGGAGTGGTAACCCAGTTTCAGATTACAAAATGATTTCATCTTTTCAGAGCGCGATCTGAAAATTTTGATATAATCAAATTCAATCTTTAAGTTAAATTAAAGAAACGTTCTTTTGTTCAATGCCTATTTGGACTTGAAATTTCCATATTACTGTCAGCTGTCAAAAAATTCCCAAAACAAGTATAGACGTATTCAGATTTTTTTGGAAATATAGTATGTAATTACAATATCATTTAAAAATAAGAATACATTATTTAAACAATTTTTGTGTATTTTATCATTTTTTACTTTTTTTCCAATAAACGTCAAAAATTTACTTTTAACACTCTATATACAACCTAAAAGCAAAAAAAAATTTAGTGAATATCGTCGTGAATTTTTCATACTAGAAAGGTAAACATTGATTTAACTTGGTGAAGCCGAAGCTATTAAGTAATTAAAGAAGTATTAATTTTAATCACAAAACATTATGAGATATACTACTTCGACCTTAAGTCATGGGTCGAGAAGTGCATCACCTCTTCCAGCGCCAGCAAATTACCAAAGCAATAATTGCTTATCAGCGACATCGAAAAGTTTAAAATTTTTAAGAAGATTATTTAAATTTGACCAAATGGATTTTGAATTCGCTTTATGGCAAATGATATATTTATTCATATCACCGCAAAAAGTATACAGAAATTTCAATTACAGAAAACGTGAGTATTAGTCACAGAAAAAAAATTACCCTAAGTATACAACAATCATCTTTTTAGAAACAAAAGCCCAATTTGCAAGAGATGATCCTGCTTTCTTAGTTCTTCTTGTGGTTTGTCTTTTCGGTAAGATTAATAAAAAAAAGAATAAATAACAATCAATGGCCAATTAGTACCTTAAACATTGCTACTCTTTATATTGTTTTAGTAACTTCTCTAGGATTCGGTTGGGTTTTAGATCTCACTTTTTGGCAGAGCGTATCTTTCATATTTTACGTTATATTCGTCGATTGCATTTTCGCTGGTATTATTGTAGCCACTTTCTTCTGGATAGTTACGAACCGATACTTGCGTGCGAGTCAAATCGAAGCTGATATTGAATGGGGGTAAATTGAAAAAGGTTAATGTAATATTGTCTTTTCAGTAAATAAAAGAAAATTGTTTCAGATATGCTTTCGACGTACATCTTAATGCTTTCTTTCCGCCTTTGATGTTATTACACTTTGTTCAATTACTTTTTTACAATTGGGCTATTAGTCTGGATTTTTTCATATCAAGGCTTTTTGGAAACACTTTTTGGCTGCTGGCCTTAGGATATTATATTTATATAACATTTTTAGGATATAATTGTAAGAGTTTGGCAAAATCTTTATGAAATTTATTTATGAAGCAATTTTATTTGTATTATTATAGGTATACCACATCTTAAAAACACCAGACTTATACTTATTCCTCTGCCAATACTATTTTTATTTTATTTGATATCAATAATAATTGGGTGGAATGTTACTGTTTCTTTTATAATGTTTTATAAGTATCGTGTGTACTAAAATAATTTATATGTAATTTTTTATGTACATTATATCTAATATATTTAAGGCTTTATTGAAATTTTTATTTTTCTTTAGAATATATAATTATCTAACTCATTTTTCTATGTAAATAAAACATTGCGAAATGCGACCACGAAATAAAAAAAAAATAATTTAATATAAAAATTACAAAATATTGTGTAAATTTGCGCATTCTGTTAGAAATATTAGTGGAAAGAAAGATTTAAAAATTTGAAATTTTTTTAATATTTCGTATGGATATTTTGACCATCGTATAGACCAATAGGTACCTTAGAAAAATTAAAACAAAACAGAGAGGAATACATGTGATACAAATTTATTTAGAAATTTTAAGCCAAATTTGCCGGTTTTATTAATGTCCTTTTCCTTTTTGTTAATTTTCTTGATAAATCTTGTTGATGTAGTTGAGAATAAACTTCAGCATAAATTTCTTTTTGTTCCTCCTCTGGAATAGTTTTGCGATATTCCTTCATTAAATCATATTTTTCCCAAGGTGTTTCTGCTTTTTTTGCTTTAATTATGTGTTTCTCTATCAAGTAGTCATTAATATTTGAAATTCCTTTTAAATTTTGCCTTTCCCAACGTTCTAGCCACGGCTTTGGCTTTAACTTTACTTTTATGTCATTAATTGGAATTTTTGAGCCCTCGGGCAATATTTCCGCTTCCATATTTATGTCAAAAGTACTAAATTCGGGGAGTGCGTCTCGCAAATAAAACAGTTTATCATCCAGTCTTTTTTCAAGTCGTAGAACTTCAATTTTTTGTAGAGTTGGATCATACATGTCGTACTGAATTTCTATTCCTTGATGGTCTATTACATTTCTCAATATAAAGCGAGATCTTAAACCACACCGATCTCGATCGATACATATTCCTTAAAGTAAAATTTAATTAAAATGCAGCAACAAAAAAATTTTTAATCGTACCAACAAATCGTGTTGTTTTTCCAGATGAAAGTGGATCTGCACTTGTAGCAGCTAATATAGAACCAACATAAAACTCTGGAATATCAATATTAGCACGTCTATTCAACATATCAATTCGTTCTAATTTTTCGCGTATTCCATTTCTCCATTTAATGTTCGGATCTGGTAGAAACTCTGGATAAATAAACCTAAACTCAGGCGGCACAATAGGTTTTCTCGTTTCAACTTTGTTTAAAATTTTTGAATTTTGTGGGGTTACTTTGGTTGAATAAAATATGGCTTCTAAGGTTATAAAAGCAAATAAAAATTAACAAATATAAAATTTTATTTGTTGATTTAGCTACCTAAATTAAATATTCGCCTTTTATTCAATAAATTATTAGGTATTTTTATTAAAAAATTCATTTTCCCTTATTCAGAAATAAGAACAATAGAACAGAGCAATAGAACAGAAACAGATGTTTTATTGATTGATAAATTTATTAAGTAAATAAAAAAAAGTAACCATAAAAAAATTCATAATAACAAAGTTTATGCATAGAAGAAAAATACGTCGATGTCATTTTTGATTGAAAAGTCGAATGTCAATGCTACGTAATAGACGGATTCTAAACATAGACTGGCTTTTGTTAGTACTAAACACAAACACAGATTAGCAAATTAAAAAACGGGTTTGTGAAAGGATTTATTAAATATTTGAACGGGAAGAATATCTTTTGTCGATAAAGTATTCAAGGAGAGTCTGAGAACACAGCTGCTTTATTAATTTTGGATGATAAATATTTAGAATAAAGTGGACAGGAAGTATTAACTTAGAAAAGTGAAACCTTTCTGCAGCCATTAAAAAATATATTTAAAAGTTTTCAAGTGGAAGAATCTTATATAAATAGTTGACATACGTTTCATTCCTCTTGCTTAGAAAACAATTTTGTGTTTGTATCCAAAACGAAGTTAAAAGTATTATATAAATCAATATTCAAAAGCCTTGGTGCAAACATAGCTTTTTATAGATCCGATGTTATTGCAAAAAAATTGTCTGAAGTATGTACTAAATAAGTACTTTGCATGTAATCAAATATCCAACCTTTATCACATTTTGGCACTTGGCAGCCATTGCTCAAAACCTCAATTGGAAGAGTTTTATTTGATCGAAGGCCTGATTGAAACATTAATGCAGATTTATTTAATATTTTATCAAAATTTATTAATTTTTAACTACATATTAGAGCTACTTTGATTTGAACAACTAAATACAAAAATACTCTACCCAAAAATTTATTAATTTCGTCAAAATAAAATTATGGCCTTGTGTCAAACATCTGTGGTAAGTTCAATTGTTTCAATAACAGTGCACGTACCCATATTGTATATGGAATTTCATTTTAAATCGAAGTAAAATACAATTTTTGCTTTAATGAATATGTATTATTCGAGAAAAAATTTAAATTTATATAATCTATGCTGAAAAGCCTTATTCTGTATATATATGTACATACATATGTATGTCAACTTATTTCCAATTTGTTTAACATAGTTTTTCGCATATATTAAATAATGATTTTCATATATATTTTAGCTAAAATTGTACCATTCGGTAATTGAAGATGTCATTTCGAGTGTAAGAGATGCGTTTTTGGATGAAGGTGTCGACGAACAAGTCCTACAGGAGATGAAACAAATATGGACAAATAAAATTTTGGCAAGTAGGGCAGTAGAAATTACTCCAGATCCTCCAGAGCCAACACCTCCTCCAATAATTGCCAATAACCCAAAGGTATGGATTTGTTTTAAGCAACCTATTAAAATAGAGTTAATCTTACTATTAAGAATTAATACCTTAATATAAAATTCATTAGCATTGAGTATGCATTAAATTTATGTATATTGTATAATCAATTTCACTATAATTACATTGTGCAATCTGATCAACATTGATTAACAACTTTATAAACATAATAACCGTATACATCTCCCAAAATGAAAAATATATGTATTTCCAATTACAATAACATATTGTATCGATTTGTTTAAAAATGCTACATGTTGTACATGTAACCGAAAAACACAAAAATTAATGTGGTCTTCAAATACAGCCAAAGGTAAACATTTGTTTAAGTAGCACCTGACTTTTTTTCAAATATATCAGACATTTAAGTAATAGAAGAATGTGTAAATTCATGTTCTAGTATGGTGAATAAATTATATAAAAATATTTTACTGAAGTGTCTGATTATAACTGCTCATTCTTCGTACTTTCTTTCTAATATATATTAAAAATTTTTTGTAGAGTGCAACAAATAAAACCAAAGCTAAGGCTGCCGCAAATAAAAACGCTATTGCAGCTGCAGGGAACAACGAAAACAATAAGGATAATACAGGTGGAACTCCTGTAGCACAAGCATTAAATGGCAATTCTAAAGCTACAGTTAACACTCAACCAAAGCCTCAAAACGTCCAAGGTCCAACTGCAAACACAAATCTACAGCAACAAAACATGCAACAACAGCAACAATCTCAGCAACAATTACAAGTACAACAGCAACAAGTACCCGCACAGCAAACACCGTCATCTGCAATACCTGCAGTAGCAGCCCTGGATCCTAATAAAATAATGCCCGTTAATGTAAGAAAAAAAAAATCATACCGCTTCTAAAAGTTTCAGAACTTCACAGTTGGTTTTAGAATATAATTGTGTCAGAAAAAGTTATTAATTAAAAATTTTTTACCAAAAACGATTTACCTGCATATATCGCAATTTGTAGGTAACATGATATTTATAATTAGTTTATTATATTCTTCTATTATTAATTATATCACTGGTAACTATCATATTTTATTTACATATTCAAGTATACATACATACTAAATTTTTCTCTCGTTATATTTTTATTTCCCTTAAATCTTAATATCCACAGTCGCATTGATTTCCTAAGAATTTTTTTTGATTTTTAAATATGCATACACTATTTTTACACTTTATCGAAGAATTAAAGAATGCAGATATAAGAGACTTCAAATAAACTTTTTAAAATACATTATCTGACTTGTGCTTTAGACTTGAATTGAAAATTTTAGTATGTATATATACTAAACACACATATGTATACGAGTATGTTTTTTGGAAGCAATTTTTATTTACAAACTTTTGCAAACTGAGAATGAACTAATCGTCATGTAAACTGATTATAACAATAACTAACATAGTTAAAAAATTTGTTAAAATAATTCTAGATAACCTTACCAGCTCAACCAGGTACTGTCAATTCAGAATCTCGAGTTTTAACAATTCATGTACCAGCATCGGCATTGCAAGAAAATCAATTAACCCAGATATTAACCGCAAACTTAATTTCATCAATTATGTCCCTCCCGACAGCATTAGCATCCAACGTGCTGCAACAACATGTTAATGCAGCTTTGCAGAACTCAGCTATTCATAGTAAGTTTAAAAATTAACTCATTCTGTTTCTCGCATTTTTAATCATCGGATGGTAAGAAAGTGATTGAATACCAATAAAATAAGTAGTTTTATATTTAAATTAAATATAAAAAATTCAGTCACATTTTAATGATATTATTATTTTTACGATATACTATGGGTATAATCGGAAAGTAGTCGATGCGTAATCACGTAAAAATCGTGTACGAAAACGCATCAATACAGTAATACTTTAAATATTTGGTGTCCAAAAATGTCAGAAATACACATCGTATACGCACCTTATTAAATCAACTGTGCATCAATTTTTTTGTGAGTTTGTATTGATGCAAAGTTTTTAAATGGAAGCTGAGAAGTAAATAATTTATTTTAACTGAATAACTAATAAAGTTAATTATTTCTTTATGCACGGTATTAATATTTTTAAATGTTCAATTATATTAAAATCTCCAAAAACTTTATTGAAATTAAAAAATTTTTTTAACAGATTTTCTTTTACATTTTCAAAATAAATGTGAAAAAACATATGATTTAGAAAGTGTCCCAAAAAGTCAAAATAATATTGCATCAGCAAGGTAAACGCATCAGCAACTTTTGTTGCATTGACGCTGCATTGATAAACATTTTTGATTACTTTTCGATAATATCCTATATATGTACATATGTATGTATATATGTAAGTTTGAAAAAATTGAGAAAATGTAATTGAACAAATTAGTAATGCTATTAGATGTTATTTATTAGATGAAGCGATATTTTTTAATTCAAATATTGATTTGAAAGCATCTAGATTAGTGAGATACAGAATGAGGTTAGAAAAATTTTTTTGCATTATTAAATTTAAAATTTTTAGAAAATTTTAACGTCGCAAAACAACAGTTGGATGGGGCAGTCGACACTTCGGACGAAGATGGCAGTGAGGAAAGTGATGAAAATTTAGATAATGAAGAAGATGAAGATCCTGATCGTGATGATGATGAAGATAATGATGGCGAAGGTGGCGCTGAAGAAGAACCTTTAAATAGCGAAGATGATGTAACTGATGAAGATGCAAGTGATTTATTTGACACTGATAATGTGGTTGTCTGTCAATATGATAAGGTTTTTTAGTTGATTGAACTCACATTTTTGAACATTTAAGACTTTTTAATTTATAGATTACACGATCAAGAAATAAATGGAAATTTTACTTAAAAGATGGAATCATGAACATAGGGGGTAAGGATTATGTTTTTCAAAAATCAAATGGCGACGCAGAGTGGTAGGCAGTATTCAAATATACATTAAATAATTTATAATTAGTTGTTAGATAATTAAAAAAAATGAGAGAAAATGAAAAACATGAGATGGAAGTGTTATGTCCTTTTTGTAAATGTATATCTGTTAATCAAGAGACTAATATAAATCAAAAATTTATAGTGCTCAAAATATAGTTTATGCAAATAACATATTTCGCAAAGATTAAATTTAAATCTAAATAATATGTATGTAATAAAAAGCTAATTCAAGTATTTAATTCAAAAACTTGTTTTCTGGAAAAGACATGAAAAATAGATCAAAATTTTAAATATGTAATTTTTTTTGAAGATATACATGCAAAGCAACGAAATTTGTTATTTTAATTATACTTAGTTTTTAATATTATAAAAAACGTATTGACTTTTTTTTTTTAGTTTGGTTTACTTTAGCTTATTTTGTTTGTTCAGTTACATATAGAATTATTTGAGTAATAAAAGTTAAGCGAATTTAAGATTGTTTTTTTAATCTCTCGAAGCTGTTACATTTTCAAAAAATGTTTTTTTTTTAAAAGTCGATAGTAAACGTAAATAAAATTATTTTTTGGTAAATCATTTTATTAATTTAATATTACAGAATTATATTGTAAAAAGAAAATATTAAGTATGTATGTATAATATTTAAATTTTCAAAGATGAATCAACGATATAATTTCAAGTAAAATACACATTGGATTTACATATTTGTGCTGGTAGAACTCTTTTAACAAAATAAATTTGCTTTAAGAAATTTTCCTCCTTCATTTATTTTTAAAGAAATAGTTTATTTATTGTGTCATTATAAATGAAATATTAGATATAATATGTGTTCTGTCAGTCTTGAAAAAAAAATTGAACTACAAAGATAGTTCTTCAGTTGAAGAGTTAGCATTAGGATTATCCTCCGATAAGCGAAGCTCAGTTAATATAACAACCTGTAAATTGCATTCTTTAAAGTATGTTTTTTTTTTAAGTTTGAAATATTTACTAACCTCATACGGACTGCAATCAGATAATCGCAAAAAGCTGCAAAGCCAGCCATAAAATCCTTTTTCGATATCCAAAATCTCATTTACCCAGCTACTGAATTGAAGACTTAGCTGAATGAAACTTGCATAAATACCTAATCCAAGTGTACAAAATGTTATAACAACAGGATATGCCAGAATTAATATTGGTGAAAAAAATATTTTATGGAAATATGTCTTATCTTCATTGAAATAGTTAAACATGTTATACCATGTCAACGTTCCAATATAAAAAGAATAAATACTTGTTATTAAAAAAACAAATGGAAAACAGATTAATGACAAAATGAATATGTGAAACCCTGTAGATATATTACAAATGCAACATAGATTTCCTTTTTTTGTTTCTATTTCCAAAGCTGTTGCATTAATTTTTTCTAATTCTTCGCGACTAATATTTACTTGAAGATCCATTGACTGTCCTTTCTTTTTGCCTCTTTTGATTGTTCCTAGAATTGATAAAAACATTTAAAATAATGTAAAGTGTGTATGTATGTACATGTTTTTTCTAAAAATGTACCCGTCATAGTAAGGTAACTACTATCAATGGATCTTCGTGTACTATATTTATCCAAACTTTGCTGTGATGGATTATCACGTTTTAATATATTGGTATCGCCTGATTCCAAATCTTCACAGTTTTGTGTTGGCAAATTTGTATTTAAAGAAGTAGTTTTAGATGGGCTTTTACTTTCAATGTCCATTCGTATATTGACACGTTTCTTGGTGGATGACGATCGACTTTCTGGTGCTATCAAAGAAGAAGTTAAGCAATCATGAGATTTACTTAGTTTGGCACTGAGACTATTTTCAGAAGCACCATAATTGCTCGGTATCATGTTAATATTTTCGCGAGTATTATTACTAGACACAGATTGATTTTTTGACGCTTGAAATATATTGTCATTACTCATACTATTGGTGCTTGCATTGGCATTTTTTGTCTTTAAATCATTTACCGATGTAACTTTATCTGTTGCTGAATTGCTGGGAAGTTTAGATGGTAAGTTTTCTGTAGCTTCCTTTGGCAATTGGGGCAGTGGCTGCTTGTTTTTGATAAGAAGAGACGTTTTCAATAAATCTTCCTCAAGACCATCAGGTGGAGAAGTTTTTTGTCTTGGCTAAAAATTTTACGCGTTTGATTAAAAATCATATGTACATACTCTTATAAAAGGCACATAAAAGATATAAATTTTTGATTTCCTTATTGTTTTTAATGAAAGTTACATAATTTTTCAATACTTTTATGACTATATTCAGATACTTACTTGTGAAGTAACAATATGATCAACATAATTTTGGCCGTTCGTTGGTTTTTTTGAGCTTTGTCTTTTTCGTGGGGGTATAAAAACTGGTTTACTGTCTTTACCTACCATTTTTTTAAATTTTGCATCGATTTACAATATGAAAACCTTTTATAAAAAGTATCACTTTATTGATTAACGTTTTATCACAATTTAAACTATATCTTAATAAAAAAATCTTTAAATTAAACAGTAAAAGAATCCTTTTTCCATGACGAAACTAAACAAAGAACTAAAAATACACCGTTATTGATTTTTCCTTTTGGTAACGCGTACCTTTCATTATTTTCTCCATGTATGATTATATTGAAGGTTATTTTCAAGAGTGGTACTGCAAAATAGCACATATAATATTTTAAAATGTACACCACACCTTACGTATGAGTCGCCAGTCGTCAATTTAAGATTAATAACATTTTTATGGAATCTAATTGCCTTACGGACAATAATTTTTTTATTATTTGCTACAGCGAGTAACGAAGAGGCAAAAAATGTTTGCGCTCAAATATCTTTGAAATGTTGGCGCAAAATTTAGTTTCATGCAGATATGTGGTATTATTTGAGAGTATACGTAGTATTATAAATAACGTACACATATTTGCTTAAAATCACACCCATCAAAATGCACCATTAATGTTAGTTTGATTTACTCAGAAATATAATTTTAATTGGAAGATAAAGTAGATTGTAAATAAGGTGGCAATCAAGGTAAATGTAAATTAAAATACAATGTAAATTAATTAAAATTTACGTTGCTTTATGTAAAATACATAAGATCTATTAACTAGTAGCGAAATTACCATCCCTAGAAGATTATTGGGGCCAACAACCTGAAACAGTTTTAGAATGAATGGTCTGGCGTCATTCAAATGTTTACAAATAAAGAAATATCAGTTTAAAAATAACTGTTTGTTTAAATTATCAATGTGAAACGTCAAAAATGCCTGTACTATGTACTAATCTGAAAGCAAATTGAAATTTAAAAGGTTCAATTTACAAAATGAAAAGTATTATCAAAACACAATGGATACTCAAAAAATATCAAAATTGCAAGGAGAACAACTTGCATTATTGAAAGCGGAGAAAAAACTGACAGAAATGATTAATAAAATAAATGAACATATAAATATTCTGAAGGTATCTTTCTTTTATTTAAAAAAAATAACATTTAATGTAATTTTTTTTATTTAGGTTGAAGAACTTCAATTGAAAGCAAATCTTTTTTCAAGTCAAAATAAACCCGAGAAAGATCCACCTGAAAATAAGTTTAAAATGATTGAAATACCGGAATTCATAAATTCTCAAGTAATAGACTTGAATGTGAATAGGTCTTTGTTTCCTAACTTTGATGAAGAATATGAATCAGATTAAATATTAAACTCATATTACAATTTCACTAATACATATGTTTTTTTTATTTCTGCTAATAAATGGAATTGTAACATACAGCTCCCAATCAAAAAAATTATGTGCAAGTTGAGGAAATTCTTATAGAAAAAGATAGAGCACAAACTTTTGTATTATTGTTAACAAGTTAATACTTACAAAACTTTAACATAGTTCAATCTAAGCAACCAGAAAAACTTCCTGAGTACCATAATGTGGCTGATAAATTTGGTTGTTACTATACTATATTGGCTATGTTCATATAAATGAATATGTATACCAAAGTCTTGAAGACTGGATGTAAATATTCGAAATTCAACATTTAATAAAACTGCAAGCACAAAATTAGATGAATTAGAAAAGTTGATAGAATTAGGCAAAAATAAAATACAAGTAATTTAAAAATTTTTAACGACATTGATCTCATACTCGTGATATTATTGATTCTATTAAAATTAAATGCGATAATTTTTTGAGAAGTGGTCATCAATCGTTTCTTTCAACAACACTTTCCTTCCACGGTTGACATGGTCACTGCCCATAAAATTATTATTGATCTCATTAACAATGTCTATGGGAAGTGTTCGTCAACCATTTAAAAAGCTATTTATATTTATTTATATGAAAAAGATTGAAAAATGAATAATTGAAATTTTAACTTAATTTGTTTTGTTTTTTATAAAAAATATTTTTTTGTAATTTAGAACCTTTACGATACATATTATGTACGAGTATATATTTTTAAAATTTTGCGCTTTTGTTTATGAAAAATCTTAATTTTTTGCTGTAAAATCTTAACGACTAAAAAGAGTAAAAAAATCTGCCCAATCAAGATAAATTTTCGAAAATGGCATTAGTGTTGCTACCTTTACTCAGTAATCAGTATTGATTAACATTGCGTTTTTCAAAACTTGTTCAACTTAGTTTTTGTTTCCAACAATAAAATATATATATTTATTTTTGGAACAGAATGAAAGTAGCAAATATTTGTCGAATTTGTCTCAAGAAATTTAAAAAAGGAGAGGAATTAATTTCGGTTTTTGAAAATGATGAATCAAATATTAAAATAGCAAAAAAGATATATGATGTTAGCGGGGTGTTTGTAAGTCAATTACATTGTTGAAATTTGTAAATTTCTATTAAGTATTGAAAATATTAATATTTATATACCTGTTAAAATTTGCAGATAGAAAAAAGTTTTCAGATTCCCGAGAAAATTTGTGGAATTTGTATAAAAACTCTTAATATTTCCTATAACTTTAGAAAGCAATGCCAACAATCTGATTTTAAGCTGAAATCAATGAAATGTAGTGATAACTTGTACACAGAAAGTATTTTGAAAGATGTTGAAAGTGATTATATACATCAAACATTCCTTAAAATGGAACTGGATACAGCAATTGATCAATCAAATGTTAAAAAAGAAGAAGATGATGAAGAAGCGGAAACACAAAACATCAATTATGAAGATTATAAAGTTGTTTCTGAAAATGAGTATGAAACTAGTGAGCAATGTGAATCGGAAACTTATTGCAAAAATGAAGATTTTGACACCATCATGAACGAAGTTGTTTCATATGAATATGATGAACTAATCGATGAATCTTTAGAATATTTAATAGATGAGTCCTGCAAATTTAACTCTGAAACAAAAAAAAAATATACAAAAAGTATTGGCAGAATTAAAAAGGATGAAGATAAGCAACATATAAGTAATTTTCAGCACAAGTGGATGAAGAATTATAAATTTTTGCAACAAACCGAAGATACAAATACTGCAATATGTACAGTATGCGATTGTTATTTGTCGCTTCTTGGGGGAGAATCAACTGTGGCAATTCATCTTAAAACGGATAAGCATACATTTCATATGGGTTTAAGAGAAATGGATGTTAAAGAAAAAGAAGAAGCGAAAACATGGAAACGTTTAGAAAAACAGGAAAGTTTTCATATTTGTGATATATGCGGAAATAAATATGCAACATTACATTTGCTCAGACGTCACTTAAAATATCACTCAAATACAATGGACTACGAATGCGAGTAATTTTATAAATTTTTTTGTGCTTATGAAAAAAATAAAAAAAATAATTATTTATAATAGATTATGTAAAAAAAAGTTTAGACAAGAAATGCAGCTAAGACGGCATATGAGAATTCACACGGGTATAGAAAAATTTTCTTTTTACAATTAATTTTATATTTATATTTTAGGAGAGAAGCCATATTCGTGTAAATATTGCAATAGAGCCATTCGAGATTACAGTACAAAGATCAGGCATGAGAGGTAATAGTAGTTAACAATAAACTTTAATACTTGATACAATTTCGAAATTATAACTTAGAGCGCATACTGGAGAGCGACCTTATGTTTGCACTACTTGTAACAAAGCATTTCAGTATCCTTTTGTTTTGAAAAACCATATGAAAACGCATACTGGTGAAAAACTATTTGAGTAAGAAAATTTTTTTAATTAGCTTTTTATTTTTAGTTTCTTTTTTTTGTTTGGCAGATGTATGGTGTGTAATAAAAGTTTTACTTTAAAAAAACATTTAACCTCTCATCTACAGACTATGTTACATAAGAGCCAAATAAAAAAATTAGAAAAGAAAGCTTTAAAATCTGCAAATTCACCAAACTCATAATAATAAAATCGTTTTTATTACATTAGCTGTTAGTTTATATTAAAATAGTTCTGTACATGAAATTTAAACATTTTATCGTATTTAGGGAAAATATAAGAATGACTTGGTCACCTTTAATCAAATAGAAGTTTTATTTTTATAATTAATCAAAAAAAAATAAGAGGATATTATCTACATCAGGCATATATGTACTAACATATCTATAAAGTACATACGCATATGTACCTAATTTTTATCTGTTAAGAATGGAAATAGGTACGCCACAACTCAAAAAATAAGGCTTTAAAAACAAATATGGTTTGTTATAAATAAATATAACATACTCCTTCGCTGGACCTTCATTTAGAGTCAATTTCCACTCGTTCCCCTGTTTTTAGTTTTATTAAAGAGAACTGTTTTCAAGCGAAATTTACAAATAAAAATGGAAGTAAATTTTGTGATCACGAAATTAAATAATCATTTAATCACAAAGTTATATGTATGAATGCTATTTATAGTTTCCAAAAGGCATTTAACAATTGAGACTTACCTTTATAAAGGTATGGTTAAAATTAATTACACTAAAATATCAGTATGTACAGAGATGTACATATCCAATTTTCAGGAAAATAAAGTTCTAGTTTATTTTTTAAAGCAAACACTAAAATTATTTTGCTACGTAATTTATTTTCTTTTGGCATCTTTTTTATGGGATATTATTTTTTCTGTATCGATTTCTTCAATATCTTCATCTTTCTTTTGCATGAAATTGCTGGATGATATCGCTGTATCCGCAACTACATTAAAATTTGTTTGTGCTGGTTTTTCATTATTTATAACATAGTTATCTCCATTTACTTTTGACAACATTTTATAGATGGTCATTGCCTGGCCAACTAAGGAAGTAACATCGCTGGCATTTGCCGGTAATATCATTGTATTGTTTGTTTTAGATAAGTTGCTAAAGGCAGATATATACTGCTCAGCTATGAACAATGAGGCAGCGTTTTTTCCGTTTATATCATTTAGAGCTTTTGCAATAGTTTCTAAACTCCTAGCTTTTGCATCAGCAATTGCTAAAATGGCAGCAGCCTCTCCACTAGCTTTGTTAATATGTTCTTGCCTTTCGGCTTCTGATGCTAAAATTGTGGCCTAAGAATATTTAAATATTTTTTAAAATTTTGGCAAGATATTAAAATATTCAAAATGCACTTTACCTTGCGTTTACCTTCAGCAACGTTTATATCTGCTTCTCTAATTCCCTCTGATTCCAAAATCGCAGCTCGTTTTTTTCTTTCAGCTTCAACTTGCATTTGCATTGCTTCATGAACGCGACTTGGTAAGCGAATATCTCTGATTTCGTAGCGCAAACAGGTTATACCCCAAGCTTCACTAGCTTTGTTAATTGAGTCTACAATACTAACATTGAGTGATTCACGTTCCCTGAACACTTTATCTAAAGACATTTTTCCCAGCTCCGACCTCATTGTCGTTTGCGCTAACTGGGTGATTGCAAATTCTGGATCTTCAACGCCATACGATGCTTTATATGGGTCGAGAATCCTTAAGTATAATACGCCTAAAACACAACGAACGTAAAATATGACTTATGTATTTATGAATATATATATATTTACCGTCAATGGATAAAGTAACATTGTCTGATGTAATTGCACTTTGTTTCGGTACGTCAATTGCTATTTCTTTTAAGCTTTGTACATATTTTATTTTGTCTATTATAGGTACAAGAAAATTTAATCCAGGATCTAATATTCTAGAAAACTTTCCCATACGTTCTATGATCCAAGCTTCTTGCTGGGGAACGAACATAATTATTGTATTAATTGGTGTAGATACTTTTGTTCTTGTTATAATATTATTAACAGCAGGAACCCCAATTTCCGGTGGAACAAAGTTGTTTTCTAAATATTTGGCTCTAGATAGTCTTCTATTCGGCAAACTTCTTAAAATGGATCTTAATGGTGTTATTTTAAGCATTTTAAATATGAATGTTTAAACTGTTTAAATATTTAATTGGAATTTGTACTAATTGCTTTAATTATTTTTTGATCAATGCTAGTAGAAGAACAGCGGTGTGCACCAGAGGCAACCACAGGCAATATTTATGAAATAACAATTTATTGACATTGACAACGAAGATGGAAAGTGTTATAAATATGTCAGGGTTTGTTCCATTTAACATTTTCTTTAACTTCGTATCTTTCAATTGACTTTATTACGGTTTGATATGTCATCGCTCACGCATTTTTTTTGGTTGTTAAAATTGCATAACACCGAATACATACCCAAGGCTCTTGCAAGAAAGTTATACACACAAAAATTTTACTATACACCTGAAATTTTACTAACATTTCAACTAAAAACATAACCAAAGCCATGAAAGGCAACGGCCGACGATTTTCATTGTTAACCCAAAACAAGAGCGTAACGACAAAATTCGTCATTCAGTACTTTGATGTTGTCAAAAAAACACCAAAGGTAAAATAGAAATATAGGATATGGTAAATATAGGATCACCGGCGGTGAAATTTGCAGCGGTAATTTTGCTTGATTCTGGGCAGTCCAATATAAGCATGTGTATTTTATAATTTATATGAATTCTAACATTTGGATCAACTTGTGTATGTAAAAAGCTTAAGGTTTTTGACTGATTTATGTTGAATACAAAACTAACTATTGAGAGCACTTTATGATTTTGTCAATTTCGCGACTTAAATAATAATGTCAAACTTTGTTTTCGTAAACAAACTCATACATAACAGATATGTAATAATAAGTTACAAGCACATATGTTTGATGTGAATGGAACCACATAATAATATTTCGAAAACTTTATGATTATAACCATCTGCTTGTTTTATTTTGTTTTTGTAGAAGTAAGTGTGTAAAGTTTTTTAAAAATTAATAATGGAAAAAAAAAGTCGATTGGCTAAAAGGAAGACAAAATATAACACCAAATGGGAAAAAAGTTATTCTTGGATAACGGCTGATGAAAATAATGAAAGCTATGCTAATTGTAAAATTTGTAATGTTAGATTTTCAATAGCTTTTGGTGGGAATGCAAATATTCTTCAGCACATGCAAACCGAAAAACATCAAAACAATTTAGCTAAAGATTCTGAAATCCTTGTTGATGAAACTAAATTAGAAAGCATTGAACCAAAACATTGTGAAACTTGTAGAATCTGTTTACAAATTGGTTTGAATGAAAATCTAATTTCAGTATTTGAGTGTGATGTTAATAATGTCAAAATAGCTAAAAAAATTTATGATATAAGCGGAATTTTCGTATGTATTATTCTTTCAGTAAATAAAATCTTTAAAGTTGTCCTAATTCTAGATCGACCAAACAGATTCATATCCTAACCAAATATGCGATGATTGCAACAATACATTATCTATTGCTTATGATTTTCGAATAATTTGCCAGCAATCCGATCTTCGATTGAGAGCACAAAAAACCGATGAAAATATGTCTAATAGCGATATTAAACTGGAAATAAGTTCCGAAATAGAGTTTTTGAATGAAGATTTTTTTGAGAAAGATAAAATGGAATGTGCAATTGGTAAAATTTTTTAACAATCAATCTAAGATGGATAAAATCAAGAAGTACATATTTCAGGGGTTGAGCATAATGATCTCGACGTGCCTTCGAATGATGGTATCCATAGCAACGATAACATAAGAGGTGAATTTGACCAAAAAATAGAAAATACGAAACTTTCAAAACCAAATACTTCGTCAAAAAGATATTGTCGCTTCAGATCGGCTTGGCTGGAGAAATATGATTTTATCAAGCAAGGAAAAGATAAAGGATATGTTTTTTGCACAGTTTGCAGTTGTGAATTTTCTATTGCGTATGGTGGAGAAAATGTTATTATAAGACATATGACCAGAGACAAACACTATTACAATTTAAATCCCTCAAAAAAAGGTTTAAAGATGGTTAGTGGAACAAGAGTTAAATGCGCTCAAACTGTTGAAGAATTATGTTTCATTATATGTGAAGTTTGTGGCAATAAATTTCCATCAAAACGACATTTGAGGAGACATTTGAAATACCACTCTGATATTAAGGAGCATGAATGCGAGTAAGTGACAGGGATATTTGCTTTAGTTCTTAAATTATTTCTATGATCTTTCTTAGGATTTGTAAAAAACAATTTCGTGAGCTAATGCACTTAAAACGTCACATGAGGGTGCATACTGGTAACGAATTTTAATTTTAATTAACATTGATAAATTTCTTAAATATTTCTAATAGGAGAAAAGCCATACGCATGCAAACACTGCGGTAAAAAGTATAGTGATTATAGCTCAAAAATTAAACATGAACGTGTTCATACTAACGAACGTCCTTACGTCTGCCAAACTTGTGGAAAAGCTTTTATGATAAGTGATACACTTAAGAGGCATATCATGATTCATACGGGTGAAAAACCATTTTGGTATGTTAATAATTCGGGATTTTCGATAATTCAAATATGCATACTAAAATTATTTTTATATACCACATTTTGGAAATTTGTTATATTCAGATTGTCCAAAATTATTGTATTTTTATTATTTATTAAGATCCAACTTAAAACTTAGAAATATTAGAAACGAGTACAATTTTAAGATAAAAGAACTGGATTATCGAAAATCTCCTTGTTCAATTTTTAAAGAAAAATTGTAATATGTATGTGTTCAAGTGTATAAATTTAATCTTTCTTTTAGTTGCGAGGTTTGCAATGTTAAATTTTCACGTAAAACTCATTTACAAGCTCACTTGCAATCCATAACACATAGAAATAGAGCCGAAAAACTAGTGCAGACTTAATAAGTTAAGGGTGTAACAAACTACTTTGGAGGAATTGCATTTTTAAACAATAAGAAATAATATACTTAAATGAATCTAAATTTTTTATCAATTCCGGAACTAGGCCTAAAAAGAGAGCTATAAAACTAGTTATAATTTTAAATTAATGGTAATAAAACCTCCTTTTATTTTCGTTGTTATTCAATGTTTCCGGATAACAAGTTTTGTAATATCTAAAATATGAAATTTTTAGTTTTCAATTAGCGTATATCAACAAGTTATGGGCATAAAGAATCTATTTCTATTACAGTTATCGAACTTCTGTTGATATGATCTTTTACGTAAATAAAAGAAGAAATGAGAAAAAGCTAAAAATAAGGAAAATTATGCAGAATATTGAAAAAAAAATGTATTATGTATTATGAATAAAGACATTATTCAGTTTCTATTTTAATTGAATTTTTCATTGCAATAGATTCTCGACTCTGATGGAGAAATGATTTGAAATGTGTCATCAACTGGGTTTTCTCAGCAAAACCTTTGTCACAAATTTCACAGCTAAAAACGTAAATATATGAATAATGTGTTTTCTAAAATATAAAATGCTTTTTTCAATTACTGATGTGGTTTTTCGCCAGTATGTGTCCGCTTGTGTTTTTTGCAAACTCCTGATGATGTGAATGTCTTACCACAAGTATCACAGGAATAAGGTCTTTCATTAGTGTGAGAGCTTTAAAATAGAATGACATTAATAAAATTAAAAGAACAACAATGTCATAACAGTAATTTTATGTGATTGAAAATGTTTAAAAACATAGCTAAGCAATACCGTTCATGTTTTAATTTCGAGCTAAAATCTGTAAAACGTTTTCCACAAAATTTGCATTCATATGGTTTTTCTCCTACAAAAACTCATAATTTATATTTTGAATCTTATAATAAAGTGATTACCTGTATGTACACGCATGTGTTTTCTTAGTTGCATTGATAATCTAAACTTTTTTTTGCAAATTCTTGTAAAATTAAATAATAAAAAATAAGTTTTTCAGAAGTTTAATGTAAAAAATTTTTAACTCACTCGCATTCATATTCTAATACGTCGGAATGATATTTTAGATGTCTTCTCAAATGAGTTTTTGACGGATACTTATTTCCGCAGATTTCGCAAATTGTATAAGTGATTTCGTTGACATTTTGGGGAACTTTTATTCCATTGCCTCGGAAAACTTTTTGTTTAACTAACAACGGATCTATATTTTGTTTATGTTTTTCTGTATTAACATGTCTTGCAATATCTGATCGTCCTCCATGACTAATGGAAAATTGGCATTTACATACTGTGCAAGTCGCATAATATTGATCTTCTCCTTCGCGAATCCAATTGTATTCTTTAAACCAAGCTTTATTAAATTTGCATAATCTTCTTGGTGATGGATTTTTTCCTTCTTTCCATTCAATATGCCTTTTCTTTTTTCTTAGTGGTTGAGACATATCAGAAAGTACATCTTCTGCTTCCTGTTTATGTTCTCCATTATCTGGTTGATCAGTACTGTCATCATTAGTTGATAAAAATTCTTGATATTCAAATAAATCTTTGTTATCTTCAGAGTTCTCTAAGTTATCTACTTCATCTAAAAGCTGATCTAAATTTGTTTCGGTTTTAATTAAGTGTACTTGAACAATGTCAGTTGTAAATTTAGATTCTTTAAGTTTTATATCACTCTCTAGACAATTCAACCGAAATAAATATGCCAAATTTAATACTTTGTCGCATTTTATACATATTTGCTCTGGTAAATAACTTGTTTTTTCAATCTAAAATTATAGACATTTTATGATTTTTAATCATTTTGTATATTCGAACTAGTATTTACTTACAAAAATTCCACTGATGTCGTATATTTTTTTTGCAATTTTAACGTTATTTTCATCTTTGTCAAATACAGATTTACATTCAAAACTTTCACATATATTCTTTAAACAAATTCTACACAATTTCTTAACGTCCTCCATTAAAACTCTTTGCTTTAGGTCACTTTAAAACATTTTATTGTACTCCTTCGAAAAAAAGCAAAACATTATGTTTCTCGTAATGGTCGTAGAGTGAAGGAAATAATATGGTATCAATTGGATTTAAGATGACGTTAGTATCATACATGTATGTTATTTATGATACATACAAGTGCAAGTGTATGTTCGACGGCTGACGGACATAAAGGCCTGAACCCTGAGAGAGAATGACATTTCACGGCTAACGAATTTACACGTATTTTTTGGGAAGCTATAGAGGGCGCTTTTTAACGTCACGATCAACTTTCTTCAAATCTATTTTACTGGATCTAACACTCGTATACTTTTGTATTACAAAAACATAAAAAAATTTATTTAAAATAACCTTTTAGAGTCTTAATTTTTTTCATATTTCGCTCAAATTCTACACTACAGGGCAAAAAAAAAAAAATAAGACAATTTTTTGTGAAATATTGAGCTGATTTTTTGTTTTCTCCAATTTAGAAAAGTGTACATTTGATATTAATATATGTATGTATGTGCTACTTATGTTTTCATTAGTTATACTTTATTAAGTATCGCAGATTATCGTAGTTTTTTGTAAAAAAATAGTAAAATAAATAGGTTTTCTATTGGAGATACTGGGGGTAAAATTAGGCAGCACAGGAACGTGCAAATTAGTTTGCAGCTATTTGATTGCCTATTTGTATTCCGTAGGTTTATAGTCAAGCGCAACATGTGTAACTGAAGGTCGCATGCAATTAAACAATCAAACAGTATACATTTTTACAAACTTGTTGCAATTTTTATTTAACGCATTCGATTTTAATTGACGCAATAGTTTAGTTAGTTAGATGTGCGCGGAACGATTCTATAATCAAGCAGCAATTGGAAAACTAAAAATAAGGCCTGGACACGAGCTGTTAGAATTTTAAGAAATTCAGTTTAGTGTGACTAAGGTTTGACTATGTTTGATTGAAGCGCGAGAACATTAATATTTTTCAATAATATCTCAACCTTAACTCAATTCCAATAGAATTGGGGCGAATATCCAACACTCAACTCAATTTAATTTTTGTTCAATATAGAAATTTATAAAAACTTTTCAAGTTTCTCTCTGAGTATTAGCGTATGATAGACATAGTCTCATTTTCTCAATATTCAAAGCTTTTTCAAGTTTTGTTAAGTAAAATTTAGTGTTTTAAAAACCTTTAAAATCTTACAGCTGTAGAAACATATGTTTTTCTTGGTTATGTCAGAAGGTTTTATTTTTGAAAAAAATTTTCCAGCAACAATAACTTTTTCAAAACTTTTCAATTAAAAATAAAATAAAGTAATCAAAATGGGTTCACAAATGGTTATTTTTTAAATTCCACACTTTTATAATCTAAAATCAAAATTTTCGGTTTTTGGTATAACTAAAATATATTTGCTTATGTTTGAGAAATATTTAGAAATTTGACGTTTATCACATATTTATAAAGTTTTTTCAAGTTTTTCGTTTAGTTAGTTATTTTAAGTGAAAATTTTCTTTTTTTTCGTTATTGTTGTTTTTTTAAACTTTTTTCAAGTTTTATCCCAGATAGACTTACTATGAATCAGCAATTGCAACACATTTTTCGGATTTTCAAAATTCAGTATTTTGTTTCAAGTGTCAAATATATCATGAAAAGGATATTTTTTAAAAACGGAGATTTGCGATTTATCTTTAGTTTTTGAGTATTTTTGAAAAGTGGAAAAAATTTTTTGTAAATATGAAAATGAATTCATTTCCTTTCACGGTAGCTGTTATAGCTTAACAAACATAAATTTAAACAAAAAAGTTGAAAACTTGAAAATTTAAAACAACTACTTTCTTTAAATTGCTTGCTGTGTGTGATTATTTTTTTGGTAAACTTTTGAGAGTTATTTTTACGACGAATAATTTATGATTACCCTATTACGGATATTCAGAATTTTAGTATTACGAAATTGAGAATATGAAATTCGTAATTTTTCGAATTTCGGAGCTACGAACGAAATCGTCGTAGCTCTGAAAGGCCTATGCCTGATAATTTTCAGTAAATAAAAAATTTACATACACACATAAATTGAAAAAGGGGTTTGTTTTAAGGGGTTAATCTGTAATATAATTAACCTTAATGTATCTTATTTACTTTATATAATTTATGTAATCTTTACTACAATATTTTACCTTTCTGATTTAGTTTATACAATTATTTTTTTTATATTCATAAATATACATTAAAATAATGTTTAATACATTGTACATAATATCTAAAATTTTTATGAAACAAGCCAAGTTATTTGAAAAATCACATTTTAATTCTAAAAATATTCAAAACTAAACTTTGAAAGAAAAAGGATGAATGTGTGATTAATTAACATTAAATTTTGTGTTTTCCGTTGATTCTTCAGGCGTTTCTTTTAAACTTAAAATATCTTTTGATCTAATGACTTCCACTTCATCAATATTTTCTTGCTTCTTTGCGTTTTTTCCTTGATCTGTATTTTGATACGGCGCAGGACCTATTAAACTAAGTACAATTGGTAAGAAAACCACACCATGAAATAGACCAAAAATAATAATTAAAAAGAATATCTGAAATGATAACGAAAAGCATATTCTTTCAAATAATGTTCGAATTGTAATTTATGGGTAAATGTTACTTTAAAAAACGATTTAAATGTATAAGCTTCAGATTGAGAAAGTAATAAAAGTGCAAGAAGTGTTGAGCCACCCCCATATATAACAGCACCTCCTATATGTAAAATTGTGTTCAGAGTTCTTTTATTTCTATTTTCGTCAGATTTTACTAAAAAAGTGTGCCCGACATGAGCTGCATAATCAACACAAAGTCCAACAGCCAACTGTAGTCCGATACAAGACACTAGATCAATTGTTAAACCCCAGATCTGCATGAAACCTCCAACATTAACCTATAATATCAAATTAATAAATCATATTTATGTTTATATTATGAAATTATATAATTTTCAAATTTTCATGTTACCAAGGTTAGGAGCACACAAATAAATATCCAAAAGCAAATTTGAATATCCACAATTATAACGACAGTACAGAACATAACACAAATTAATGCCAATATTACATTTCTGAAAACCTCCCTGTCAATAATCTACACTTACAGTAAGATAAAAAATTTTAAATTAATTTTAATTTATTATGCATCACAATTTTATGGAACTGTTTATATATTACGTAACGATTCAGAAAGGAGCGGAGAGGAGGAGGGGGGGGGGGGGGGGGGGACATGAGGCTTCAATTATTTGTTACGATTCGTATTTTCAGGAGCGATGAGAGGTTAAGAATTACATTATATAACATATGAATAGTTCCATTGTACATTTGACAAAATATTATGTTTACATACTTCATCTGTTATCCAATTTCCATAAGCTCTTGACCATGATTCTGCAAATCCGTCACCACCACTTTCCTCAAAATGTTTTTCTTTCACCATTTGATCAATAGTTTTCATAGCTGGCAGATAATCATCCCTATGGTAAAATTTTTTAAAATGAAAATCAATCCACGAGATCTGTAAAACAGTTTTTTTTGTATTTTTTAATTTTTATCTCAAACAAAAACAGATTAAAATAGAAAGGTATAAACTAGATGTCGTTAGAAGAAGTTACGTTGTGAGACGTAACCACAAATAATTATTTCTTATGGTACTGAATGGCTGTGAACTGTGAAAGGGATTTGGGGGAGTAACCAGATCTTTTTAAAACTAATAATCACTAATAATTTAGAGTTCCTTTCAAAAATTAAATAAGTGCACTTTATTGTTTTATACCTTTACGTTCGGTGTCGGTTCGCCACACTTTAAAATTGTATCAAAATTAAAATTTGCTTGAAACTTCCCACCTTTCGCACTGAACAGAAATTTCGATAAGTAAAATTTAAAGTCATAATCTGTTAAAATATCTTTGGAAATATCTTAAAGAATAAGAGAAAAAAAATTAAATACAATTAGTCAAAAAGAATTACAAAATACATACATACATATATATACATTATGTATAATTTTCGAACGTACCCATGTTATAATTTTTTTCTACGAATTCTTGAAATGGTTTAATCCAAGATTTTGTTTTGTGAAACATATTATTTTTTTCTATTTCAATAGTTAAATTGTAAATTTTTGGCAAAATTGCGGAATAGTTTAGGTTTCCCATAAATACTGAACCCGCGTATCCTAGAAATATCAAAAATTAAATAGAATCTCATATTTTATAAAAAGATCATATTGAGCAAGAAGTTGATAAACAACAAGATTGAAACTTGAAATTCTAAAAATGCTAACCATTTTTATACTCAATTCAAATAATTTGTTTGTCAATCAAATTATTTGTTTTCCAGCAAAACTTTCTTACCTGATTCAGGAAAGTATTGCCTTGAGTATTTAATGTAGTCATTCAAATATGTAGATTCTGGTATAAACCACGCTGGATCAAACTTTTGTTCTATTTTAAGTAAACTTTGACCACTGATTGCTGTTAACGCTATTGCAGTCAAGAAAACCATAATCTGTAATAAATTTATTAGTTTTTTTTTTTTTAAATTTAAGTTATAACTATGTCATCAATATAATTTTTGTTTACCTTTCCAAATTTCGTTAAAATGATTTTCCCATAAATAATATTTAAACATTTATTCATTAAATTCAAATCACAGAAGTATTTCAAATTTTCGCTCTTATGAACAAAAAAAGGTACAAATGAATTCCGCTTTGCTCTTATCCGATACTCATCTAATGTAAAAATTGCTACATAAAATGTAATTACGTACAAATATGTCATGAAAACTCCGACAGCTGCATATAAGCAAAACGATTGTAAGGATGGTATTACCTTCAGAAGAAAATTAATTAATAAATATGTTAAATAATATTGTATTTCATACTGTTGTTGATCCGACAACAAAAGCGATAATATCAGTAAGAGATGTAACGGTTATAGAAGCCCCAGCATGTTTTACCATTAATCCAACCTTTTCTTCTATTGCTTGATCTTTATATTGAATTTTTCTCCAACAAGCCATTAAAACAAACATGTCATCAACACCTAGTCCCATCAATAAAAATGGTAATGAAGTGTGGACAGGGCCGTAATTGATGTTGAAAAAGGAACATATTCCACAAGCTGAGAAAAAAGCTAAACCAACTGAAAATAGCCCCAGCCCACTTAACCCGAACTGGAATTGTAAATTAAAATGTTTTATAAATATATTTAGTGATAAAAATTTTTAATGTAAGAAACTTACCCTTATTTCAGTCCAATTAAATTTAGACAATACTATTTGTACATATATTGTCATCAGGACGATTCCGATTGCTATTTTGTTAGTATCTTGAAATAACGCTTCATGACTTATATCACCAAAACTTTTCTCAGCATTATAATACACTTTAACATCAACGTCGTCTAGGACTAGTTTTAATTGTTTCATTTTTTGTAAGAATGCTTCTTCCCAAACAGCTGCTTCTTCTGTTATCTGCAATTAGAATAAACCTAATAAAGTTTTACAAAAACAAAGCAAAAAAGTTTTCAATAAAAAACACTAACCCAACTTTCAGTTCCAGCCATGTTCCCCATTTTTTGTTTTTCAACATCTTCCAAATTTAAGTTTATAAACCATTGAATAATGATAGCTTTAGCGCCAATAATTTCACCCTTTTCATTTCGTTCTATTCCACCTAGTAGTTCACTAAAATCTGTCATATGACCCGTTACTGGACTTTGTGTTTCATTTTTTTTTAAGAGTTTGGTAACATCATTTAATGTTATTTTTTCATCTAAATTTTCTGAATAATTAAATAATTCAACAAAGTTTCTTTCAAAACAGCCCCTTGGTAAATTGTCAAGTAATCTGCAATAAATTATTGATGGTAAATCAACACTAGGCTCAAAATCTCTTTGTATATTTTTAATTATTGAACCAAGCCCAAAAATATCTAAAAATGAATTTTCGTTACTTTCGGTATCTATTTCTCGTTTTCTTCTTTTCGCGTTGATTTGTGATATAAAAGGAATTCTAAAAATAATGAAAAAAAAAATTGAAGTCTATATTATCAACGCAAACATTTTATTGCATACTTTAAGCAAACATCAGACCACTTAATATTTGTTCCATTTTTAAGTTTTCCATGAACTTGTTCGATTTCATGGTGTATAACTAATAATTTTTTTAATACTGATGGTTCCAATACATTTGGTGCTGTTAAAAGTGCAGTCTGTATACGTGAGGCAGTATTAAGGTTTTTCAGAACCCATTTAGTGGTTTTTATAAATTGAGAATCTAAAATATTTTAGATACTTATAACATAAAATAAAATGATTTTATTAAAATTGCTATAATTATTGAAATTGAAGAAAAATTTAAATAGCTGAGAAAATATTTTAAAAGTTATTTTTGTTACTGTTGCACTTACCTTTAGGAACCCATAGTTCTAAGGGATCTCTTTGAATTTCAAATCTGAAAAATCCGAAACAGGTAATACCAAAAATACAAGCTGTAAATATGATACTTTTCCATGGATTACAAGAAACTGCATAACCGATTCTATATGAGAGATTCAAATAAAATTAGTTAATAATAATTTAATAATTAAAAAAAAATTTAAGAACATTTATTATTATGATTGAAGGAAGTAGAAATATAGAAGGAGAATAATAAAAAAAAAACATAAAAAATATGTGCATGAACGCATATCGATTGGATTACATAGGCGTGAAACTAAAATTTTAACCACAAGTAATAGAATAATAAAAGTTGGAGTCTATATACTTATATACATATGTATAAATTTATTACAAACGTTGAGAATAACAGCTCAATGTATTACGTAATTGTCAAAAGACTAACTTTTGTAGCACATAACGTAAGAGTGCTTTAAATATATTCAAAATAAGAGTGCTATTTGTTTTGTAAAAGCCTATAAATACTTATAAAAATTTGCGCAAGTTTTCGAGATCAATTTTTTGTAAATCAAAATAATTGGTCCTTAAAATACTTGAAGTACTTATGTTTTTATTTACCGTTCTGCATGGTTCTTGAAATAAATTGAAAGTTATTTGAAAATTTTTATATAGAAGTTTTGTTTTTTTTTTCAACTTAAACGGTTCTAATTTTAATTTAATTATTTTCCAAGACGATAAATTGAATAAGACGTAATTGTATATATACGAGTATTCGCGAAAAACATTTTTTCAAAAACTTTATGTTGAAATTTTAATGAAAATTCTACTTCTAAAAAATGCATCACAATATACTTAATTATATATTTAAAATATGATGACGTATATTTTTAGTGAGTATTGTGCGTGTTCTAAGTTCCGGCGATTTACATATATATATATACATTATGAAATAATATACCTAAAATTTGAGTTTAGGTACTAATTTCACCTAGGGATATGAGGTTTAAAAAAGATCGAATAAAAATGCTTTAATATAACACTGATTATGTTATAAGAATATTTAATCCAAAAATGTACTAAGTATATTTTGTAAAATTTATAGCAAATTAAATAAAAAATAAAAATAAAAGTAAAAAAATAAAATTTATTAACTTGCATAATTTAATTCTCGAATAAAATTTTTATTTTACAATAATTCTGAAAAATGGAATTTAACTCTAACTCATTATATTTTGACCAAGTGAAGTGGAAAATATTTTTTTTTATCGAAAGAAGCGCATATTTTTTATAGATAAAAAACCTCCTACATGTTAAAATTTTTTCTTCTATTTAAGATGTTTTTCGTATACCACCCACTTATAAGTAATTAGTGCTTACTCGTATCTATGATTCATTTAGTGATTCTACATTTTAGTAATTCTATGCTAGTGTATTATTATTTTGTACTTATAACATACAGAAATATATATTTGCATATATGTATATAAAAGTATGTAATATTTTACTTCAAAACCTATTACTTACTAACATTTAATTACTAACATTTAAAAAAACGTATATGAAATATAAAAATTTGAAGGTTAAATGGCAGAATAACAAATGAAAATAAAGCAAAAGTGCTTGAACTTTGGAATTGAAATAAGATCGAAAATAAAAATTCGGACTCATTGTAATTAATCACACATACTCGTATTCTTTTAAGTTACGTGACTTTTATGAATTTTTGTTGGTTTGTTACCATTTTATTTTTATCATTAACTTTTGGTAAATTACGTAATATACTTAACTATTTTATTACAAAAAAAGTATTAAATATGTTAAACTTACCTATAAAATGTATCAGCAATTGTATTTGATAGTTTTGATGAAATTTTTCTCATATTTCCCATATTCAAGGATTTTCAGCTAATTATTTGCTTCTTCATTTTATACACACGTACTTATATAATACTAACATAAAGAGTTTTCAGAATTTATTAAAAAAAATTAAACTACTTTATTAATTGTTAAGTATATAAAAAGCTAAAATAAAATCTCTAATAAGAAAAATATTTAGTTTCAATTATGAATTCCAATATTTCTATGGTGAAGTACCAAGATATGCTTAGTAAAACTTTTTCAAAATGTTTTTTTTTTTACATTAGCACTGATTTTGACCGATCCTCTTTGTGCTGTATAAATTTCAGTGCGTACGTATACGAGTATTAGTTTGCGGGAGATGTGGTTGAATTAGTCGAAATAGCAAAAAAAAGGCTTACTTAGAATGTTTATATTACAAATACTGATATATTGATGAAATTCGAGTATGCTAAGTATACATCAGTTGGTACTAGCAATTTTAATACGAGTACTAATAGACATTTTATACTAAGGGTCCTTTTGTGCAAAAACTCACAATTTTATAAAAAAAAACTTATTTGAAGTCAGAAACTAATTTAAGTACTTAATATATTTAGAAAAAAGAGTAAAAATTAAATTATATAGCGGTACTGTATAAAGCTAGTTTCTTTTCGCAAATTTTCAAAACGCTCTGCTGTAAAATTTTAAATTTGCTACTTAGCATATCTTAGCGCTTCACCATCAATTTAAACTAATATTATTTTATTATATACAGTAACGAGTAAAAATTATTTATTTAAGTATATTAAATTTTTTATGGCTTTTATAAGTAACTCTTTTTAGAATTTTTCAGGCTAAAAATGGGAATTTTTAGTATATTTTATTTTAGTGAGCAATAGTTAAAATTTTTCTTTTTTTGTTTGCTTAAAACTAAAAAAGTTAATTTCCATTATATTATATGAATTTTATTTCAATAAGTATAATCATTTACAAAATCAAGACTAAGTAATGATAAAATATTTTACATTAACATAGTGAGTCTCAATATAAAAAAATATAAATTAACTATGGAAACCATTTCTGAGAAAATGGCCAAAACACTGATGATTTAGTTATTCAAAACCTAATGTTGAAAGTATACACATACATATCAGTTGAAATTAAATTGAATATTAGATTAATTAATACTAAACACTTTCGCTCGCCGCTGTAAGTACATAACACTAGCATGAAAAAATTGATAGAAAATTAGCTTCACTATTTGATGATTGTAAATTATGTAGAAAATTTTTAAACCATGAAGATCAGATTACAAAGTCAAAATATTTTGTATTTGTATTTTTTTTTATCACTGTAAAATATGACTTTTATATATATAAATTGAAATACTTATAAACTTACATAGATTTGTTTTAAACTGGACAATATTACAATGTGTCCTTTTGGCAATAAAATTGTTAAACGAGTAAAAATATATTAATTTCCGTATTTGAATTTGTCAATGTTATTAGACAACTTTAGCTTAATCCAAGCATTAAGCATTTTGTCGCATTGTCATATAGTCGCATTTTAAGCATTGTCATATAGTCGCAAACAAGTAATTATCAGTTAAGAAATGACAAACGCTATCATTTTACATGATAGAATCTATGGATTATAGAAATAGTTAATAAAACGAAATTCTCTTGTATGAATCTTATATTATTAAGGGATTTAAAAAACAATTTAATATTTTTAATATGTAAATGTTATTTATAGTAAATTCCAAAAGCTTTCGCTATTGCAGTCCAACATTTTTTACTAATTTATAATCATTTAAAATTTATATTTCGTCCTCTTAATACACGGTTGCCTAGTGATTATACATATTTGTTTTAGAAATTATATTTATTAATTAAGTATATGTCGTTTTTATGACTTCAAAGAATATTTAAAAATTTAAATCTGAAAATGTGGTAAACATACTTATATGATTCAATATTTGCTTTATAAATACATGAGCAAGTTAATCTTGTTTAAGAATATACAGATCACATTATAAGTATTAATTTTAATTAAATGAATGTGAAATGTATTTTATATAGATATGTAATGCATATTTTTGATAAACCAGTCTTCGAATTTATCTTCTTTTTTATAATTACCTTGATATAAGTATATAAGATTTATATAAATTTAATCTTACTTATGTATACCTACATAGTGTATGTATACGTAAGCAGGATATCTTACAATTAAGTAAGCAATCAAATTTAATTTTAATAACATTGTTCTTTTAGCTTGAATCCAAAATGAAGAGATGGACTACAGTTCAGATGTTTTAAAAAGTGAAAGGTCACTAAGTTGACTCTGTTTTAGTTCATTTTGATTTTTTTAATTTAATTTTCTTTTTTACATAAGATTCGCATATATATACGTATTCGAGATTCTTTGTTAACTTTATCGTATATAATAAGTATGTTGAAGTTGTATGAAGAAATTTTTTTATGCAATTCAAAGTAGGTAGGTTACGTATCTACCTATATTTAGTTTATTAAAATAGTAAGTATATCTTCTAAATATAAGAGTACCGCGTATGCATATGTGTAAATTTCCATATTTGCTATAAATTTTCATTATTATCCTGGGTATTTTTGTACTTTTTATATTTAATTAAGTTATTTTAAATTTTTGTACACATATATTTAAAATAACGAAATTTCAATGTCTTAAATGGAATTCATTGATACGGCATTATTAATATATGTACATGCGTGTATAGCTTTTTTACAGTACTTTGTTTAGTTATAGCTATGTACTTAGAAGAAAATAATCTCATCTCTATTGTATGTAAGAACGTAGCCGTCTTAATTTTCACACTAGAATTTTATATATTTTTTTTTTTTTTATATTATGTGTAGTTATACACAAATTTAATTATTTTATACTTAGGTAATAAAAAAGGCATTTTTTACGCGTATATATTTTGATTACGATTATATTCTTATTCATGTTGAGATACACAATTGATAAGTCTAAATTTTAAATAATACTTGAATTTGAGTTACTCTTATCATAAACTAACATTAATTTTTTAATGGAATTAATTATTTATATTGATTAAGTAATTCATTTTCTATCACTGAGGTAGCTATTTACTATACATATGAACATACGTATACGTATATTATACTGTCAGTAATAGAATTGATATTGCAGATATTTAAAATACCAGTGAACCTAACCATTTTACCGCACAATAAATAATAAATTCACTTTTATTTTAAACTACTTTTATTTTCAAACTATGTAACTATTTAAAAACCAGATAAATTTTATAATACAATTTTTTTTAAACCTATAAAATTACATTAAACACTATTAAGTTTATAATTTGAAATTATAATAAAATATAACATATTAATAACCACTTACATCTAATTTAACAATTGTAATTTCTATATTATTTCGTCTACTTTTATAAAAAAAACTTTTAAGGGTTAAGTATACATATATAAAACAAATAAAATTACTTTAGAATTAAATTAAATCATTCTATTGCTTTCATTGAGAGCATCGCGCGTGCTTAATTTTCTATTTTATTTTATTTACTATATTTCCGTGAAAACAAAAATTAAGACTGACAGACAAATTGTTGGCATTTTGGCAATGGAAATAATAAAATACAAGAAGAAATGAAAAACAAAAAAGCGTGTCAGGTCAGCTGATAATAAAATTTCCGAATTCCGAATAATACAAAAAATCTTTTTTTCGATACTCTCAAAAGATTAAAACAATTAAAATATGTACTAAGCTTATTTTTGTTTTATCAATAATTTTTTGTTGGGATTGCATAATAAATTGATATTTTGAAATATATAAGTAGGTAAATAATATATTATGTAGTTATTAATATAATAATGTGGATTCGATGACAAAAAAATCAAAATTTATATTTTATCAATTCAAATACAAAATCAATTCACAATAATAAAATATGAAAGTAATAAGATTATCGTTTAAGTTCTATGTGCAGCATGAAAAAGATATATAAAGGTGTAGATTTAAGGAAGTTTGTAATTGAAACTCTCTTGATGGAAATTTGAATACAATAGCAAAAATTAATTTATAAATTACCTATATTCCATAATTTTCCTTTTAATTATTCCATAATCAACATTTGAATAATAATAGGAAAGTGAAAGCATTAAATGGTAAATTTACAGTTTCGGAATAGATAAGTTAATCGAAATTGTGAATGTGTTGTAAAACTGTGAATGTAATAATAAAATTTAGAGTCTCTAAATCTGTTGGCCTCTACTTATTAGTTTATTGTTTATGCCTTTAACATTTCCAATATTTCCTTTTGTAGTAAAAGTAATGTCAAGTTGTATAATTTAAAATTTACGGTGCTTTGTAATGTTATTTTGTAAGATAGATAAGAAACCGTAAAAACTACGGAAATAACAAAAAGTGTATAATTTAAAAAAACATCAGCAGAGCAAAATTTAATTAAGGAATTTTTTAAATTGTAATACAGTTGCGGCTGGTAACGGTATAGTCAGGCTTTTGAATTCAATTATGATAGGTAAACTATTGATTTCCTTGATTTGGATAAAAAATCTTTTTATTGCTCTGTTAATTTAAATATAAATTTCGAAACTATTTTCTTTTGTTATACAAATTAAATTTTCTCAATTTTCAATTGCTCTTGCTTTTTGAATTTTAGTATTTGTGTAACTAGTATACATCAAATGATCTTCAATTTCGTTCAAAGAATGACCTTCAGTTTCGAATAAAAAAAAATAGGCAAAAACTAATCTAAAGGGAATATGTATGTAGAAAAAAACTTATTAATCACGTGTAGGGAGTGTTGGTTATAGTTACGTACCCTATTATGTTGATAGTTAAGAAAAACCACATTATTCCATTTAATGTTAGTGCCCATTCTATATATAAATAGGATTTATGTCCAATAAAGTTCATATAATAAAATATTGCGCAAAATGTTCCTACAACAAAACCTTTATAACTTAAAACAAGAAAAAAAAGTTGTCAATTAAGATTATAATTTAAATATATACATATATATATATATTATATTTAAAATTAAATACTTAATTGGTGTGATTTCTCCTACTAAAATCCAAGGCATTACAGCAACACCGTAACTGGTAAAAAAAATCAACATGTAAAATATGAAAAATGTAAAATATCTCGAACAAGATTCATAATTCAGTTTTTGATTTTGGTTCTCTGCATTAGAATAATAATTTTCAGGAAAGCAAATAGCACCAAAAGTAGCTAAGTAAATACAGCAAAGAATGTTTCCAACAATTCCAATAAAATAAATATGACGCTTTCCTAGGATCTTCAATGAAAATGTATTTAAAATATTTGCCAAAACTTGGGCGGTACCAATATACGCAACAGCTTTTTTAATTTCTATTGGAATGGCATAAGAAGATAAAACTTGAAATAAAAATGGTCTCAATGTTAAATATCCCCCCAAATAGCTAACAATGCTTAATTCAATCAAAATAAGAAATAGTCTTCGATATTTCTTGTGATTTAATGATTTGATTTTTTCCATAATAGTTGGTTTAGGATGTAAACATTCGATGTTTTCTTTTGAACATTGCTGACATTTATTTGCATTTTCAACATACATCTTCATTTTTTCAAACTCATCTTTAACAGCTTCTCGTGCAACACAACCTCTTAAGCATTGCAAATTTTTCATTGCCAATTCATAACGATTTTTCGATATGAGCCATAACGGACTTTCGGGTATTAGGAAAACTACAAAAATGCCAACAATTGCAAATGCCATTCCAATTAATGTTAGTATTCTCCAACTAACCATAGCTTGCAAAAAAAGTGTCAAATATATACCAAGAGTTACTGTGATTGAATTTAAAGATATTAATATACCCCGTACTGATTCTTGACTTCATTTAAAAAAAAAATTTGTTAATATTTTGGGTGAAATCAGATATAAAATTAAGTCTAGAATTCAGTTTAAATGTGTTGTACTATCAAAAGATTAATAATCGTTGTTTAACTGCATTGTGATATTTTTTTAAATCAACCTCTCGAAGATTTAAATATATTACCGGTGACATCGTAAATGCCCTAAAAAATCTTTTGTCTAATAGAAAATCGCAAAATTTTCTTTTTTACATTGTAATTTGAATACATTGCAAACAAAAAGGCTTTCTGATACATTGCCAGATACATGATAATCAAAAAATTTTCGATACACAACATACGCCTCAAATACATCTCGTGGACATTGTAAAAACGAATTTTGATTATGCGACATTTTGGTCGAGACGTTGTCGAGTCATTTACAATATCAGGGTGTTTTTTTTTACCTTGATTCAGCCACATAAGCGATAATAGGCGGCTCCATTAATCCAGTTCCAAAACCAAGAAATATATCACCAATAAAAAGCATTAGTATATTTGTTGATAGGTAGCATATAAGCCATCCAATTATCAAAGGTATACAACATATAATTAAACTTGTTCTTCTGCCAGTAGCTTCAGTTATATATCCAGATATAATTGTTCCAATTGGCAATATAATTAAGTAAATACTTCCTGTTTATGAATGCAGATATTTATTAAATAGATATTAAACATATAGTTTTAAGATTTAAATAAATACCAAAGCAAGTTGCATCAGCACTTTCAAAATACATTGATTCCTTTTTAAATTTTTTGTTATACAGAGATGCAATAATAATTGTTGGAAAAATGAATACCATACCCATATTGAGGAATAATATATTTTTGAAAAAATTCACTAATACCTGAGGTAGAATACGACGAAAATTTGAAACTTGTAGTGGTAGAGTTTTTTCAAATCTCGCTTCTTCTTCATTATTCTTGTTTACTTTTGCAAACATGGCATAAACAATTTTCTTCTAAACATTAATTTCCCAACAATTTCATATAAAAGTTTCATCAATAAAAATCAGAATTTTTTGAATTACGTATACATATATGAATATATGTACAATTTATGAGTTTGCTACGTTTTAAAATTAATTAAGTACATACAAATATTGTCAATTATTATATGTATTTTATTTATAAAATATATTTATATGTACTTGAAAGAACAATATTATAAGTTGGAACCCGAAAAGTGTTTTATATCAGGATATTGGCATAAATTTTGGTTACACATATTCTTCATCTTTTGCATCATCATTATGATCAATATCTATTAGAAATATATAATATAGTAATTATACAAAATTATATGAAGCACATTTCAATACATTATAAAATACATAATCTACGTCACAATGTATATGGAACGAGTGTTATTCTTACTATAATGTGAAGAATGATAAGGACATTTGAAAGGAAATACTTTTTTTTAATATATAGCTACATATTATGTTAGACCGAAATTATTTAATTAATATTGGTTATTGTGATTCATATTTCTATTTGATGATACACGACCATGTTGTGAAAAACAAATTATGAACCTGGGTGACGGTTTTGAAATCAATTAGGAACAATTTTCTTGTACGTTTTATTTAAATGTAATTTTGATATTTGTTTATTGTAAAATAATATTATGTACAACATGAAGTACTCAAGGTTTATTTGATATAGAACATACATATACATATATATTATACTATTTATACATAATATTATATATAATATATTATATATATACACATACTATTAATAAAAAATTTTATATCCAATAAGAATGACCTATTAAAATTGTTATTTTAATATGAAAATTGTAATTTTTTACGATATAATCATAACAATTAATTAACTATAATATATAAAGTGGTACATAAAAATTATGAGCTTTAAAATTTATATAATAATAAAATTAAACTAAAAACAAAACTTATAATTTATCTCAATTATACAAGAGAATCAATTTTTTTATAACGTAAATGAAGTGCAAAAGCATTTTGTTTCTAAAAATAAATAATAATTTTGGTTTATAAAAATTTTATAAAATTAAAAGTAAAAACGTTTGTCTCTGTTAACTTTTTTTTGTTTTTTTTTGTTTTTTTTTAAATTCCCTGTACAATGAGGGTCATGGATTCAGAATACTATGTTTGATTTAAATTTTAATGTATAAAAAAAATACTTTAGGTCTTTTTTGGATTTTGTTGTAAATATTTTCTAAAGTATTTTTTTAAAAATAATTAAAATCGCAATTATGTAAGTGACAAATAATTAAAATTATTTAAATTATTCATTTGAAAAAGCTTTATTATCACAGCCATCATTATTTTTATTGTTCTCTTGTTGTTGTGCATTTTCATCAATTTTAGTACCATTTTTAATAACAGTTTTTTCCAAATTATTGTTTCGATTTCCATTAGTTTCCTTTATAGCATTTTTAGCTATTTTAATATCAGTTAATTTACGATCATTGTCTGAAAAGTGATATTCAATATCTTCTAATGTACGATTTTCGGTTTCTGGTAAAATAAAATATACAAAAACTAATCTGGAATACAAAAAAGAAAACAATGAATTAAGTCAATACTGTAACTCTTAAGAATTATATTAAAAATATCAAAATATTTCTTACCCTATCAAATTCACAATTGAATAAAACCACATTGTTCCATTAAGTGAAAGTCCCTTATCTAAATTTAAATAAGTTTTTGTTGTAATAAAACCCAATAAATAATTGAGGGCTGCACATATTCCGCTTGCAAGACCACGTGATCTATAAATTTTTAGCATAAAATGTATTTGTAATTTTTTAAACTATATATTTATTACAATATATTTTGAGATGTACTTACTTAAATGGAAAAACTTCACTTAACATAAACCATGGAATTGATGTTACTCCACCGTTTGTCCAAAATGCCAAAAAATAAAATGCCACTAATGGAAAGTAACTTGATTCGAATGGTATATTTTCATGTGTGTCAAAAGAATTGTAATTTTTTGGAAAAACATTTTGAGCATAAGATGCAAGAGCCAAACAACAAATTAAGGATCCAATTAATCCAATAAGACATATTCGTCGTTTTCCTAGTAAACGTATTGTTGACATACAAGCAATATTTGCAAATAATGCAATTACACCAATATAAACAGTAGCAATTCTTGGATCCATTGGAACGTTGTATGCTTTAAAAATCTGGACCTACAATTATAAATAATTTTCATTTTTCTTCTAATATATAAAAATATTTAAATATTTATACCATAAACGGCCGCATTGCTAAAACTCCACTAAATTGTCCAATAGTGAATAGACCCATGACTACAATAAATGCTTTTACAGTACGTTTTCTTTTTAATTCCTTACATTTATCGAATATTGTCGGTAATGGATGTTCACATTTAATATTAGATTTTTGACATGATTGACATTTATTGGAATTTTCACTATAGCGTTGCATCTCTTGATATTCTTTTTCAACAGCTTTTGGAGAAACCCAGCCTCTAAGCCATTGTAAAGATTTTAGAGCTTGTTCATTTTTATGTTTTGATAATAACCACATTGGTGTTTCTGGTACAAAGCATATTGCTACAACAGTTACTAATGGTACACTTAAGCATATCAATGCTGCTATTCTCCATGTTGTTATTGATCCTAGCCAATACACAATAAATATTCCAAGTGTAACAGATATACCAGCACATGATATTAAAACACCGCGTATTGAAGGTTGACTGATTTCACCAACATATGTAATGATTGGAGCTTCCATAAAACCTATACCAAAGCCTAATAAAACTGCTCCCAAATACATTAATTCAATTGAGTACGACTTATGTAATATGATCCAACCAATTATATGAGGAATATTTACAATTATCATTGCTTTTTTTCGTCCAAGAGGCTCTGATACCCAACCGGATAAAACACTGCCAATCGGTTGACATATTAATGGTATGCTTCCTAAAAAAAAAGAAAAATTTTATCTTTTAATTTTAAAATATTTTATTTTTTGAGTTAAGAAAACAACATACCGAACCATGATGCTTGTTCATCAGTAAAATATAATGTTTCATTATAATTTTCTACAGTTCCACGTAAAGCTGGTATCACAATTGTTGGGAAGGCAACGGATAAACCTAAATCTAATAACAATAAATTTTTTGCTGTACTCGCTAATACTTGAGGTAATATTGTTCGGAAACGTCCTGCTTCTTTAACTTCATTCGAACCGGCTTCAGTATCTGCCGATTTATCCATTTCTTTTTTTGAATTATTTAAATTATAGGAAGCTTTTCTGTAAGTAATAATATATTTAAAAAAAGTTAGTAAAAACATTTTAGAATTGGTGCTAAATAATTACTATATTATTAACAAATTGTTTTTCTTATTTATTTAAATTCAAATGGTTGAATAATTTAAAATTAATATAACTCACCCCATTGTTATAACAAAAAATTAAAAGTAACAAATAAAATGTGATTATTATTAATATATTGTATGCAACTTGTGAAATACTTGATTTAAAATAATGAGCTCAAATGTATCAAATAATTATTGGGCAACCAATTTAGTTTGTAATGTTTAATAATGTTATATTTGGAGTTTGTTATTGATTTTTCCTTTCTCTAACATTTTTTTTAAAAAGCACGATTATAAGTACGGTCGTAATAACAGCTTATTTTTGATTCTTTCTTGACAGCAGTCCTAAAATTATAAGAAATATAAAGAAATTATTTAATGTAACGTCTATTGTAGGCAACGAGCACAAGTGCTTGAGGAGCTTTTTGTCTAAAAGAAAACAATTTGCAAAATGTGCGGATATAAGAGTGATGTATGCGATATAAATTACAGTTTAATACAAGTAAGTCTGGGCCCAAGATTATTTTCTATATACATGAATGGCTTGTTAAACTAATAAAGAAAACCTTTCATTTATGCAGAGAAAAATATTCACATAAAAGTGACACGTATTGCGAAATATTTCGTCAATACATGACTAAATGCGAGAAACGTAAGAGTTACGTCCTCTACCATAAGATTTAACAATTTAGATGCAGTTTATAACTTTGTTTTTAAGAATTATAATAAATTACCTAACGCTCCGCAATACTATAATTTAACGTCATAAGGTTCTTAAATTGATTTTGAATACGGCTAATACTATCACCTTTTCTTACATGTAAATTAGGTAAGTATTTGTGTAAATAACATCAAAAATTTTCAATATAATTAAAAAAAAATTGCATATGTTTAGGATAACATCAAAAATATTAAATTGCGAAGCACCGAACTAAAATGTAGTAGAAAATTTTCAAAAATTGGATTGATATTTTTGAAGAGTGATGGATACGGTTTGTATACACTTCTACAACTTTCATAACGCATTTAATACGCTGAATTTACATTGAATTTGAAGGCGTGTATACTGATCAAAATTTATAGTTTAATTTAATACGATAATAATAAAAATTTCGTAGTAAAACTAAAAGAATGTCATAACATAATTTCTTGGCTCGACAATAAATATTTACATTTTTAATTATTTATTTATATGACACCAGGAAGAAAATGTGTAGTTGAACTTTTAAACTGAATTCAGGCATCTGTTTCAAAGTACACTGACTTGAAATAAAAAGGTGTTTTACGTAAAAACTTTTATTTAATTGCATGAAAAAATTAAAATTTACTAGTTTTGTTAGCAAAATTTCTGTTTTACTTATGACAACAAATTCTGTTTAAACCTGCATCCATTGTGTATACTTTTGTTCTTTAAGGAAATAAAGAACGTACGGAAGGCATAATAATTCATATGTATAATGTAATAAGCATTTATACTATATAGCTGCACTCACATAATTATATTTGTTTCGAAAATTCAAATGAATATTTAGTAAAAAAAATAATATTTAGTAAAAAAAATTAACATAAAATTATACACTATTTCATTTGGAAATTTTGATGATAATTTTGTATACAGAAAAACTTGAATTTAATTATATATAGTGCTTGTTTTTCCAAATCACGAATTCTTCAAGGTAAAATCAATATTGATATTATTCTTATATTAATTTTAGACAGTTTTTAAAAAATACTTATAGAAAATAGAAGAAAAACAGAAGATTTATGAAGTCAAATTGAACATATGCGTAAGAAGCCAAACTGAATTTTAAATACCTCTAGCTAAGAAACTTTAAGTTGCTATTTAATGTTAATATTATTGAATTTGCTATTATTTCCACGAAATTTTTTAAAGTTAATCAAGGAAATGTGAGCAAAAAATCATGAACGATGAAAATATTGTTCTTTACTATATTCGTTAATAATTTTTTTCCGTATATGTATGTGTATATACGAGTGAATAAGCTTAGATTGGAAGAACGATATTGCATATAAAGTGCTTTAGATTTTATTGAGTTTTGTTTTCAATAATCACATGTAACGTATGGAATTATATAGATGAAATCTTTATGGGATTATATCATGAATTTTGTATCTATGCAAAGAAATTTAAAAATTTGATGAAAAAATAATGGCGAAATCGATGAATATTTACCAACAATATTGTCAATACATTATGACTATTATGACAAACATAAAAATTAATTTCTACAAAAATATTTTCAAATATTGTTATTTTCTTTATTAAGCGAAAAACGTGACTCAAATCAATCAAAAGTCACGCTCATAAATTATCGTTTTGTTTACTTATTTAGTTTATAGGTGTACACGGTTAATAAATTCATTTTAAATTTCGATTTTTTTATAAGTAGTGTTAGATTGAATGAGAAATTGATGTTTTTCATGATAAAGGAATAAAAAAATTTCAAAATGTTTAGATATATAAAAAACTTACTATTATTTAAGTACATTATTACCTATAAGAGTATTAATAATATTATGTAAGTATTTTACATGTCCATATAAGCAAAACTTAAAATGCTTAAATACTTCTACAATTATTGCAAATATGTGGAAAATTATATAGAAACATTTACTTCTAACAAAATAAATTATGTGTGAACATCGCTTGTTTAGAGTAGAACTACATCCTAAGTCTATTTCTCTAAAAAAAAACTTTTTTATGCCAGTTGCGCGCGGAACGCGAGAGTGTATACTTCGTTACTCGTTGATGCATTATGAGTATAGGTGGGCTTAAAAATCATTCCTGCATAGTAATCCTATATCCACATATATTTTATTTATGTAGACATAGGATTGTAATATAAAGCTAATACAAGTGTTTTTTTATCGTTTAAATCAGTTTTCTGAGAATTTCAATAAAAATTAAATTTCTACCTTAAATTGATTCTCCTGAAAAGTTTGCAAATTGTGAATTAGAATAGTTCTGATCTGCAGGCGATAATATGTGTGAGCATCATTCAATAATTTTGAAAGTTTTCGGTTTTCTTTTGATTTCCAATTGATTGATGAATTTAATTTGATTTATGAACAAGTAGCTTGATTTATTGTATAAATAATCAAATACTTATTGGTTTATCCGTTATTTAATGTAAGTCATTATGTACTACTCCTAACGAGGGAGGGGAAAGAAAAACCAAAAACAAAATTGAAAAAAAATTACATAAATTGAAATCTTTTCTAAAGTTGAGACTTTGAGAGCTTTCAATAAAAATATGTACATATATATTTGTACACCATACCAACTGCATGCATAATTACATACTTTATATACACATATTAAGTTTTGAATTTCAATGCAACATTGGTAATGATTATTTTAAACAAAAGATAAAAAAAAGGTAAACTTAACAGCGATTTTTTTATTTTTACACTTTTGTTTTCAATTTTTTTGTATGTATGTTTGTTTGTATAAGTTATGTATTGAAAGTTATGGGCATGGTTAGTGTTTATGTAATTCAACATTGAATTTCTATATAGTTTTTGTATAAAAATAAATACATATAATGAATACCTACATACATTTACATACATACATATATTGAAATTGCAGGTTATTGTCCTACTTTTTTACTTCAATATAGCAATGAAACAAAAATAAAATTGACTAAAAAACTGGAAACAAGTTTTTATTTTGTAAAAAACTTCTATTTTTTTTACTATTTTTTCATCATAAACTCAATACTTAATTTTAAATAAAAAAAAATTACAAAAAGATAATTATGCACGGCCTGTAATTTATTTTTACAATTAAACGGAGCTTAAAATTTGAACATGAAATTTATTTCCGATTATTGAATAAAAACGTGAATATTATATTTTTAGAAGCATATAGCTACATAGTTATTATAATTAATGTCGAAATATTTGCTATGCCGGCTGAAATTTTAGTAATAAATAACTCATAGGTATAGCATTATACATATAATATGTATGTATGTACAACTAATTGTGTATATGAATAATTATGTAATAAAGAATAATAATAAATTAGTATTATCTAATTTTACTTGAGTTCTTTTAATTTAAAAAAAAAAAAATTCCTACAAATAATTAATGTTAAAAATCAAATTTATAAAACTTGCATCCGGAGATATTAAAGTAAAAATTTGGTGTTTTTCAGATGGATGAATTTTTAAAATTCAATATGTAATACATGATTGTCACAAGAGTTAATGTAATTTTAATTAATTTAAAATAATTAAAAATATTCAAAATAATACGACTTAAGGTCATGTACAACAAAGTCTTGATATATAAACAAATAATAAAATTTTTATGAACATATTGTATACAAGCTGTAGGGTTGTGGCTTTCTAATATGATGGGTGCTATAGGATACGTTAAGAGCACCATGCGAAGCATTGAGCACTCTTGAAGAATTAAGGAAAGGGTTAGAAAAGAAAGACTGCGTATTAGAAAAGAAATACTCTGGGTTTAGCCAGTGTTAATACCGCACTTTCGTGCCTTCTTTCGTGGAACATAAACACAAAAAAACGATCGACCAAAACTAATGGTTATTCAGTTTGACTATAGTTTTAAGTAATTTTGACCAGATTAACTGCGTTTTAGGTTTAGTTAAAGTTCCCCGCTGATGATGCTACTGACAATTTGATTCAAGCCCGCCTATCTTGATTCATGATTATTGACACCTGCATAGAAAAAAAAGTTTAACATCGTTCATATTCATAAATCGAATGTACACATACACACATAAAAACTTATATCTTATTCAATGTTAAAAAATTTGGTTTTAAAATATGTCATGACAAAATTTTCTTGGAATCGTGGGCATAATCAAAATTTGTCACGTCGTACCATTACAGATGGTGATGTAAATTTATAATACGCTTACAATAATCAATTATATTTCATTTTTACCAGTAATTGTTCATTGTTTATATTTAAAAGGAAGTCAATTAAAAAAAAAATTACTTTACAATGAATTTTTCTAGGGGATTTTTTGGCTATAACATCGGAAAATTACAGCTACAAACTAGAATTATGAATGCGATTTACGGTATTTATTTAAAATAGAATTAAATATAAAACTTGAATTTTAATTTGCGGATGATCTTCTAAATTTTTTTTTTATTTCCAACTTGTACGATAATTTTTTATTGATAAATTTGCAATCTGTTTTTGGTATTGCTAATATTTAAATCAATTTTTTTTATGTTTATACGATTGTGAGTTGTAAGATTGTTTTAAAAATATCTCAATGGCATTATCTTTTAGCATTAGCTTTGTTATATCAGTGATTAATTAAAATTTTTAGATTAATT